AACTTTACAACCAAGTAACTGCACCTTTCATCCTTTGGTCGGTTCTAAAGAGTGGGAAGCATTGCCCCCTTGGATGAACCGAGAGACCTGTCGATTGCTCATACGTAAACACAAATGCTGGAAACCATTTTTTGATCAAAGCTTGATTCCACACTGTATTTTTGGTACAAGTATGGAATTTTCATCACGGATATCGGTAGCCCAAATCTTGCGGGCTGACTATAGATATCGTGTGTGAGTCGGTAGGGGATCGAACCTCGGGCCATGTGCATGGTCGGCGAGAGTCCCAACCACTGTGCCGCTGACGCCCTATTTACCACACTTGAGACTGTTGAGACTAGAAAATCAAACATCAAAACAAGATTTTGAGCGAACAATTGTTTTCGATAACTTCTTCTTCAGGCTCTACAGTTATAAATCCATGAATAATAGAGTACATATAGCCAGTAAAGGCAAATGAAAATAATATCAGAAACTGTATTGAGGTGCATGTGTAAGTTGAGGTGATAGTCCATTAGTTAGCATAGTCAATTAAATGTGTATAGGGTGTTTAGCCAGAAAAATGTGATGAAGTGTGAATGAACAATTAGGTGATATAGTGTAGTTTTATAGTTAACAGAATACAAGTGTCCTTGGGGTGAGAAAAATGCGATAACCACAAAATACATGTAAAGACACGTTAAAAAATGAGGCACTGGATATGAGGGCTGACCGATAATGTCTCTAGAAACAGAGCTGTTGCAGCTCAAGAGACAACATAGAACCTGTTGATGTCGTCTTCACAGACTTCATCAAAGCCTCCGATAAAGTTCCTTACAAAAGGCTACTCAAGAAGTTGGAAAGTCTTGGCATCAAGGGCAGGTTACCACACTGAATTGGGGAATTCCTCATAGATACGAGGCAGAGCGTAAGGATCAACTGGAAACCCTTCTCGTGGACAGCATTGCGTAGCAGAGTGCCACAAGATACTGTACACGGACATCTGTTTATTTTGCATATCACTGCTACTGTACGCTGATGACTTAAAAATCTGGAGAGAGCCGAAGGGCGGCAGTGGTATGCTGATGTTGCAAGAAGACCTCAAATTGTCAGAGTGGTTCAGAGAATGGACGGCCCCGGTCAATTTAGCGATATATGTAACAATGCGCATCGGACAAGCAAGCATCACCTCGTATGAGCTAGAGGGAATAATAAATAAATAAATAAATTTATTCTCATGATATAGTACATGAGGGACGCCAGTTTACAGGCATCATCAAATTGTTACTGAAATAGAACCATATTATTCAGTCACAATTTACAGTCAATAGCAAAATATGTTTAACATGTACACTGGAGATTATACATACACTTGATAAATGTTAATCCCAATAGTATAAAACATCCTTTTCACTTGTGCACAATCATTTCTGTGCACAGCTGGAAAAATCCGCTAGATTGTCAGTGAGTGCAACACATCAGGAAATACAGAAGTATTGTCTTCGCATTAACAAAAACACCAGGTCTTTGGTGGATGGGTTATAAGTGCCTGGGAAAAAACAAAGCTTGAAGTCGATTTTGGTACATTACTTTGTTGTGTGCAGAATTCTTGAATTATAGTTCATTGATGTGTTATTTTGAAATCAGAGATATGTTTATCTCATTTGATCTACAATGTCATTGTTGGGAGTAAAATGCATAAGCTTTAGACGCATTAATTAATGGATTTCTACTGCTTGTGGGTATTTACTTCTCGTGAGGAGGGTTTTTGAATTTTAGTTGTTCCGACAGGAGTTGTGGATATTGACTGCTCAGCAACATTACGGATATAAGTTCATCACATTATCTCAGGAATGTTGGGTTGTGGTTGGTGATGCATATATGATGTCCGACGAGCGTACATCTGTCCATGTGATGTTGTGGTGAGTTATATCTTTTTCATGTTGTCGGTTTATGTCCATTTTATTCCACTTATTGTGTTGGGTAGAAGTTTTACAAACGAAACTTCTTGTCTGTTTGAGGGTAAGTATCTTAATCGTTAATGTTTTATCTAAAATTATAAATATAGGCAAAAACAACAGGTGCAGTATTTAAGCTTATACATTAAATGGACCTATAATTTCGGAGGCTCTCAGATAGGAACTAGGACTACTATCGTTTGCGAACTCTTGTAGTTTGTCGTTAAGCACTTTTTTGAATGAGGCCAATGTACCTGCTTGACGCATTTCCATTGGTAGTTTATTCCATATCTGTGCATACCTAATCAAGTAAAACTTTTGCCTGGTAGCTGTTTTACATTGTTCGATAGCTACTGTACTCTTAGTGTGTCTTAGTTTGTAGCCACTGTCATCTGAAAGTCGAATGCCATCAGTAGAGGTAAAAACTAAGTGGTTTAGAAGCTTATAGTAAAGTGTTAAGTTTAGTCTCAGGCGTCTTATCCATAGTGTTTCTAATCCTAGGGTGTCACATCTAGTGGAGTAGTTCGCACCATTTTCGGTTCCGAGTAATTTTGACGCGAAGTACCTCTGCACTCGCTCGACTTTCAAGGAATAACACTTGTATCAATTCAGATTCACTTAGACTTAGGTGTCATAGTTAGCCACGACTTAAAAGCTACAGCACACTGTCGCGCGGTGGCTGCATGTAGTTTCAGGTTCTTATGGGCAATTCGCAGAGCCTTCACTAGAATCACCTGCTCACCTCCTCATATACATCTCTGGTGAGGTAATGACTTGAAAACTGCATCCAGGCCGTCATTTCTCGTCTGAAAGGGGACTCACATATTCTAGAAAGGTTTCAAAGGAAGGCGATAAGTATGGTTCACGGCATGACTAACTTATCATACGAGGAAAGACTAGACAGTTAAAATCTCTTCTTTCTGTCACACAGTAGGCAGAAAGGAGAATTAATCTCAATGTTTAAAATTTTAAATGATGACTACGGACCTGAACTATTCTCTCTTTTCCTTCCCACCAGGTCGGGACACCTTAGAGGACATAGCAGGAGAGTTCAAAAGCCAAGGGGAAATCACATTGCTGTTGAAAAAAAAAATTCTCTTACCTAGCCACAAACTCCTTGGACCGACTCCCAGAAGAAGTGGTGTCTGCAACCTCAACTGACTCATTCCAGAAAGGTTTGGATAAGCGCAAATTATGCTAGAAAAGGATCAACATAGGCTCTGAGGCTTCTATTATCAACCAAGAAATCTGAAATCTGAATCTGAAAGCTTAATAAAATACGTGTGGAACTTAGGTTCTCTCACGTAGTGGTCAACAACTGGGACTTCAGTAGTAACAGGTCCATCGATGGACGTTTTCAAAGAGAAATTAGATCTCTGCAGAGATACATATCTCAGGGATTGACATAGGCAACAAGAGCCTCTTATTCTTGTAATTTGAATCTCAGTCTAGTGTCATATACCTGGTCCCACCGACTTAGCGTTCCGAAGTCATTGGTGCATTCGCACCCCTTTTTTACCTAATGTATAATTTTATCTGAAGCTTAAACGAAATTCGGAAATAAGGAGTGTTTGTCTTATGAGAATATATTATGACGAAGATAAACTGCGTTTTAATTCACCAAATGGCTCTCCAACGGCCTTGGATAACCTTAACAGACCTTGAAATAGGCCAACCTCGTTGGCCTATTTCAAGGTTGGCGATTGTGTAAGACAGCTCGGAGTGAGTATTTCTTTTCAATTCATTGTTACAGTACTAAAATACTAGTAATACATAAGGAGAGAGAATAGAATGCTTTAAAATGTGAAAACGAACCTCATAATTCCCCAGTCGCGACAAAACATTAAAAAATGGGTGAATAATGAGCATGATCTTTTGCAAGAAAATTAGCAAGTTTGGGTTAGACGACAAGGCTCTTACATTTTGACCGCTATCTAACCAAAGTTTAGTCTAAACTGCATCACTCTGACCATTATTCAACCAATATTTTAGCATTCCTGCTCTTCGTCCTTAATCTAGGTTAACCAGCTGGTCAAGTTTAAACATTATTTACCATTCCTTGCCCATTCATTTATAGTAATTTCTATGGTTTGTTGTATAAGTCAAATCAAATCCATGTACTGCAGTAGATTATCTACTTTTGGAGCTGCTAAACCTTGCAAAATTCCTGCAAGTTTTAAAGAAAAAGTTTACCGGTGAACATTTATGTCTAAGGTGTAGTCGTACTTTTGAAAATATCTTAAGCCATTCGAATTCTACTGAATTTTAAACTTTCATACATTGAATGATATCCATGAATTTATAAGCAGTGAACAGTCAAGTGAATGTAATTAGTGCTAAAAATCCTTTTTGAATAGTAAGTTATTTGGAGGTGTTACTCGCCTTAGGTGTTTGCATATCTAGGCACTCCTCACTTTTATCATTTCTTTTGTTATCAGCATAACCTCTTTGTCTCTTTAAGGAATAACAAGCCCGTCAATACCTTCTTTTTAATCTTATTACTCTCCGCATTTTACTGGAGAAATAAGAAATTGCCTCCAACTCCTCGGTCTTAGCTATATGCTTAATTCATACTTTAAGGCATCATACGTTCCAAACTTGCAAAATGATTTCGAATTATTTACAAGCTCTACTGTTATATTTGACGTCATTATTAGCGAAATTCCAAAGAATAGCCGTAAAACAAGTCTGAAGCGCGTCTATTTTACCTGCATTTTCTAACTTGTTGAGTGGGTTCTGTTCACAGTGTTATACTAACGGAGATAGTAGGAATGATGCTTATCATCTCCACCATAAAGCAACTTAGGTCACTGAACTGATTCTCCATCAGAAGGATTATAGATGTATATTGTATTGTTGATACCCTTCACCTCAAAGTGGTGACGTTCTCATTACAGCAGACTGACCCTGCTACTCATATGAGAGATAACTAATTTTTTTTATATTTTCAAATAGGTATTTTATACTTTTTGTTACCTGCTAATTTTCACTATCAATTACTTAGTTTTAGATTTCAACACACACATAGTTCTGTATGCGTCGTGAGCATATTCACACTGTCTAATGGATATTGAAGATATCACTACTGAACATGAAAGACCAGAAAATGCCACAGGTGTATTAGTCAAAGCAAGATTTAAAAATAAAAAACAACCTATGTATGAAGATTTATGTTTAAGCAGTAGTGTGCCTGGTAAGCGCTTTTTGTGTGTGCCTAGCGAAAATAGGTAGTATTTTTGATGTTTATGACGCTGATATTGTCTTTCTATGTGCAATGTTAAATACTGTCGCTTGACTTGAATGACTCTAATTTTCTTTTATATTGGTTAGTCTTACACACATTTACTATCCGACATAAAATGTGAATATTATTGAGGTTAGGCTTGTAGGTGTCTGGTACTCAGGGCAAGTCAGTCAACGAGTCTGTGAAAGTACATCGATTTAGTTGCCTAGGTCACGTGCCAAGCATGCCAAGCCATCACCTTCCTCTCCGAGTAATGCCAGCTTATACTGGATTAGTATCCAAAAGAGTAAAGGATGGTGAAGTTAAACTATCATAGCCAAAGTCACAGTGACCATGAACAACCAATCAGAATTCAGATACGAAAAAGTTTCATAATCGCTAAAAGTTGCATTAAAAAATATTGCAAACTTGATATTACACTGAATAACTGTCGCTTAAGCGTTTTAAGTGTTTCTCAGTCACTACAAAGACAACCTATAGAAAAATCATACCATGCGACATAGATGTTTATTCATCCAGATGATTGTAGATCGTGGTATTTTTTCAGATCCACTGATATTCCTGACATTGTCCTTTAAATTTAATTCAATTTTAGATTTTCCCGTCGATTGATTGTACCGAAGCGCTTGGTCTCAGGTTGACATGTCGGCTTCTTGTGCAGATGCTTCGATGATGTCTGGGCATTTAATTAGAATTTAATTGGTGGATGGTGACTAGCAGTGGAATCCAGGATAAAGCGTATTTCGTCCTTTTTGGGACTCGTTGGTGGCTGGATGTACCTGCATTTCCCAGCGAGTGATGATGTTCCCACCGAGGCTTTGAACCCAGTGCCCATAGTTTCAAACGCCAAAACATTATCCACTAGACCACTTGGGCCACGAGAGCCACCACCTCTTGTGCAACGGGTCATATTAATTATTTAATTCAATTTTAGATTTTCCCGCCGATTGATTGGACTGAAGTGCTCGGTTTTCTTTAAACTACCCCTTACTCTGACCATGATCCTAACTGTATTCCTATTTCTAACTTTAAACCTAGACGCTTACGTTAGTCTTCGTCTTGTAGCCAGTCACCACCACTGGCGAGCATCAGATTACTTTTTCAAGAATTAGTATGTTATTGATATTATTATCATTATTTTTTCGTTCTTCAAAATTTTATTTACAGAGAAATATCGTGTTTTTGTACAAACATGGGGATGTGCACACAATACTAGTGACAGTGAATACATGACTGGATTACTAGCTAAGTATGGTTATCAAGTAACACTAGGCGGGTCACAAAATACCCATGGTAGCTGTGAATCTGATAATCTTCCCGACTGTGATAATCATAATTCTAATACATGTGAATGTCAAAGCGCCGATGACCAATGCTGTTCACAAGACAATAATAATAAAAATTCAGAGAAGACAAAACCTGGCAATACAGATCAAAATGCTAAAATGGAAGCACATATTTGGGTGTTGAACAGTTGTACAGTGAAAGGTCCAGCAGAAGATCACTTTCGTAATGCGGTTCTAGAAGGTGTAAAACTTGGTAAATGTGTAGTGGCAGCTGGTTGTGTACCACAGAGTCGACCGGGTGCTGATTATTTAAAGGTTAGTTTCACTAATTCATTATGCATAAACTGATTTCGTGTGTGTGTGTATGTTTGTGTGCGTTTAATTTGCTTTGTAGTTTTAAACCCTTCTGTGGTGAAGGATGGCGTGTAGACCTGACCACTTCACTCATTTGTGAAATTGTATCAGCCCTGAAAGGTTGGCTGATTACTGACGAAATCTTAGCATGGAGATATAAAAGGCGCATGTGGCATTAGCCAGCTTACGTCACCTCTGGAGTAGATGTAATAGTCGACCGTCGATCCAAGGATGTACGTGTACTGCTCAGCAGCAGTTCAATATGTCCTTTATGACTGTGGCGATCAAATCACAATCTGTGTGATTTGCTTAATACCATGGCAAAGTTAAACTTTAGTCATCCAACAGACAAGCAGATCACATGAATTCTCATTTGAATAATTTTTTGGTTTCCAAAGGAAACTGTGTAAATTGTAAAGAAAATCCGAATATGATTTAAGGCGTTGCCTCTACTTCGTTCAAGTAAGCTAGTCAGCCAGAAATCAGCTGGTGTTTGTGTACTGAATACTGAATTGATGGCTATTATCTCAGCTGAGTCGAATCGGGTAGCACCACTGATTACTCCATTATGGATAAGATTTTATTTTGATAAATCACACAGTGTTGTACAGTTATATGAACTGATGACGTTTCGAGCACAAACTATTGCTCATAATCATATCAAGTTGATATGATTATGAGCAATAGTTTGTGCTCGAAACGTCATCAGTTCATATAACTGTACAACACTGTGTGATTTATCAAAATAAAATCTTATCCATAATGGAGTGATACTCTACCACAGTGCCCAAGTTTCATACTTATACTCACACAACTGTTTTTCTTCATTTTTATACATGTGTGGAATCGATTAGATATTGGATTAAAAATCAATATGAGATAATGTACAATGAGATGGGAAATAAGACGAGTGTTTTTATAGTCATAATAACTAACTTATTAGAATGTTATGATGTACGTGAATTGAAATAGAATTTCGAGATTATTTATTATCCTCTTCTGATTTGCCTGGCGGTAATAATATCTTCCATAGATATCTCGGGTATTTGCATGTAGTCACTTCTATTGCACGTGTTGTGTTGTGTGTAGACTCGATTAACCAGACAGGACTCAGTAATCAATCTCTCCGTATCTCCACCTACATAGATTACTTCTTAGAATTTTAACCCTCTCCCACCCTATTGTGTGTCGAGGCAAAATAAAGCAGGCTTTAGACCAGGTAGAGGGTGTATAGATTATATCTTCACTCTTCGACAGATTCTAGAACATAGACACACTTTTCGGCGTCCGACAATTGCCATATTTCTTGACTTGAAGGCAGCCTTTGACTCCGTGGATCGAAAGGTACTATGACAATATCTGACTGTGAAGGGAGTGCCAAGAAAGTACATTGCACTAATCAAGGCATTCTATTCAAACTCATGTAGCCGTGTAAGGGCTTATGGGGAATTGTCATCTGAATTGGTAACAACCAGTGGTGTCCGACAGGGATGTCCACTCTCCCCATTTCTGTTTAACTTCATTATAGATATGCTGATGGAAGTATCCTTAACTGAACGACTGAACGACTTAGGAATCGACTTGTTACCAGGGAATAGTCTTATGGACTTAGAATATGCAGATGACATAGTCCTGTTAGGGGAAGATGCTGACAAAATGTAGAGTCTTCTGAACACCTTGAGCAGCAATCTTCGTATGTTTGCAATGCTATTCGCCCCTACAAAATGTAAGATGCTGCTACAGGACTGGACCACGTCAACTCCTATCTAGCTTAGTGATAGAACATGTTGACCACTTCACCTATTTGGGAAGTTGTATTAGCACCAACGGACTGATTGGCGATGAAATCTCAGCACGGATCCGAAAAGCTCGAGCTGCTTTCGCTGACTTACACCATCTCTGGCGTATGCGTGACATCCGACTGGCTATCAACCAAGGGACGTGTGTACTGCTCACCAGTTCGCTCCGTCCTTCTCTATGGCTCTGAAACATGGCCAATACGCGTTGAAGACATGAAAAGGTTGACTGCTTTCGATCATAGATGTCTGCGATCTCTGTCTCACGTTAGGTGGTTTCACAAGATAAGTAATGTTGACGTTAGGCGTAGAGTGTTGGGCAAAGAGGGAAAATCAATCGACGAGGCTATAAAGTTACATAGACTGAGATGGCTAGGTCGGTCACGTGGTGCGCATGCCTAACCATCGCCTCCCCCGACGGGCATTGCTAGCTGATATAGGTGCAGGTTGAAAAAGAGTCAGTGGTGGCCAAACAAAAACATGGCTTCATCAATCCATGAAATCCTTGACAGTTAAACTGAGTAAGGTAGGGAGATGCAGACTTCCGGGTTGGGGCCGTCGGGACTCTAGGAATCAATGGCTGGAGACAATAAGTGACATGGCTCAAGATCGTTGTCAGTGGCGCAGATGTATTCAGTCTCTGTAATCTTTCATATTCTTTTCTACCATTACCCATTCTGTTTCACTCTTATACTTGTCAGACTGTATTGATTCTCTTCACTCATCTTCTTGTCTACTTCTGTGTGCTATTTGGCACGTGGTAACTCGAAGTGCTGCACTTCGGTGCCAAGTTCTATGTTGAATCCAGACAGACAGACCCTATTGTGTGGTTGTGTATGAATGCATGCAGTGTTATTGCTGAGTTTTTTTCTAAATTACTTATCTTCTCAGGTGGGGTCAACCATTCTTACCTTGGCCACTAAATTCTTATGTTCCGACAATCTGATTACCTCGATCTACTAGTTTGACATATATAGTTGACTTCACAGTCACTGCAGGTTATTTTGTAAATTATATTACTTTGTTTAATTGGATCTATTGGGTCTTTTAGCTTGCAGAGCTTGTCCCTGAGTGAGTTTGTAGGTTTGAATGGCACCCTAATTCCTGCTTTATTGAGAATCCTACATGTGGTCTCAGAAGTCCCCTCCTCATATTGTATAACAGTAGATGACTTATATTCTCTCTTATTTATGTTATCATTACTCGTTTCACAATTATTTTTATTTTGCTTTTGGTCTTTTTCGATCTTCCTAATAAATTTTATAGGATAGTTGGTTACTTAACACCAACGCTTCTTCATTTTGTTTTATTTCATCATTTAGGTCTTTTCTTGTGCTATTTAGTGCTATGGTTCGGTTTGTTAGACGCTTAACTAAACCTACCTTCACAGACATAACAGATGAGATGAATTAAAGTCTAAATATCCAATATTAGAATGCGTTGGGTTTTTATAAACTCTAGTGTGTAGTTTACCTTTTTTTTCGTTCAAGCACATCACAACATGACAACAACAATATTACTCTGTAACAACACTGTGTGATTTATCAAAATAAAATCTTATCCATAATGGAGTTATACTCTACCACCACAGTGCCCAAGTTTTATACTTATATCAATAACATCACTGATTACTTCGACCCTAAATAAGTGAACCAGCCTTCCAGTGTTTGCACCACTTCTATCCGCTGGGTTAACAAGCACTACTACTACCTGATGTTTGATTGGCATACGATTGACTACGCATCTAAATCATTCAGTAGTATATAGCTTTACTTAATTAATATTTCAATGTAATGTTGTGCATCTATTTATTGTTTGTTCTGTCATATTAAAACAAAGGATTATGCATCTCTCTCTCTGCTATTTATATTTAGGGTGTAAGTGTAATCGGTGTACGTCAAATTGATCGAATAGTTGAAGTTGTTGAAGAAACACTCCAAGGTTAGTGTAGTGTACCCATCGTTATCTTAATGCTTATTTAATCCTGGAGTTTTGATATATTTTAGATTTCCTCCTAAAAATTCTTCTTGTTATTATTTAATATTATTGTTCCCTTGGGTTCTTGGTGGAGCATAGGGCTTCAACTGCACATCTGCACTTCCTTTTCTCTTCCGCTGTACTTTTCACCTGCATCCATGTTAGTCCATATTGTTTCAACTCCTCTTCACACGATCTCCTCCATGTCACCCTTGCACTGACGACCCACTCGCCGCTTCCCATTCTGTTGGGTTCCACTCGAGCAATGGCCTGACGCGCTCACGATGTCACCCAGCGGCCCGGCCTCCTCAGCGAGTAGTGTCCAATCCACTCTTCTGTCCACTTTCTCCTGCATATTTGTTGGTTGGCGATTGGTTCTTGTTTTGTTTGTTCCTTCCCATAGTTTCTTGTTGGTGATTCTTTCTTCCTAATAGATAGTAGATAATTATTAATATGTCGGTCAGTGCTTCAATGTGTTGTGGTTCAGAGACTTGGCGTGCGCGCGTGCGAGCACGTGCATCACCGAAAGCATCTCCAACAGGCTATTGCAGCGTTTTGTCAACAGCTGCCCTCTTCACTCGATACTGAAGTTGAAATGGTCTATGACGCAGGATGACTGGTGATGAACCACTGGACATGAACCTACTGCTTAGTAAATATGCAGAAGTAAGTGGTGATGGATTGTGGCAATACACTGAGGAGAGACCCCAATGAGTGACATCAAACGCCGGTCGGGCGGGTTTCACTGGAACCGGAACGGGAAGCTAACAACAAACCGACTGTCGCTTCGAAGGTGGCACAGAGAGGAGATCGTATGAGGAGGAGGAGGAAGAGGAAGAAATAAAAGCCTATAGGTTACGTACGATGTAGCCAGATAACGAGGAGAACGTGGAGATATCGAGATGTACTGGTAAAGCCATATGTTCCATTTGGTGGTACCCAAGGGAATAATACTGATAATAATACTGGCATTTGAGTTCATCCTTACTTCAGCGCAACAACGCCAACAAAACATTTAATTGGTCATTTGAATAAGATTCCCATTATTGACAAATACACAGAAGACTAGCTGAGAAGGCAAAGATTTATTGCTATTTTCATAGTGATCTTGCGTAATCAGTTTAAGATATAAAAAGCTATGTTTTGATTGGATAGGATATGTCAGTAGTGGTCCTGTAACGTGACCCTTAATCTACATTATGGTCATATGTGCCTTGTCTACAGATAGTGTTTAGAAACATTGATCCGTAATCCGTCTCCTCCTGACCTAACAGTATGGCATGCATTGGTTTGAATACTTCGCTTTCAGTTAATAGGTGCTTGGTTTGAATCTCGCTCCAGCTATGTCGATCCGTTGATTTTCAGATATCATCCAGAATACCAACATTAGTTTACATCAGTGAATACAGTCAGTTGTCTGGACACGGTTATGATGGAATCCTAAGCGTTGCTTATAATCATCAACTGGTAAAAACTAAGTCTCATTGGCGTTTCATCATTTTGTGAATTCTCCTTCAATCCGACTGGAATAAATTCAAGACTACACTACATTAAAAACTTTTGTATTTCCCAATGAATAAAAAACAAAACTGTATTATTGTGTTTTTACTGACGTTTCGCTATTTAATGCTGCTGCTAGTAGCTTTATCAAAGTAGTATTATTAAACCAGAATTTACAAAATCTATTCAGCATGTGATATCCGTGTAGCCGAAATTTTATCCAGCCGACCATTGATATCGGGTGTGTGTCGGCCAGGGATCGAACCGTGGACCATGTGCATGGTCGGCGAGCGTCCTAACCAATATGCCACCAACGTACAGTAAATTATGGCATGAATCATAACTTTAAGGTTAACAACAATATGTGGTGGTTGTCCGTCCTAACACCTCCCCTGTTTTATTTATTAGTTCTTGATTGGGCGACCACAGAAAGTTACTTTGTAGGTGTCTGTGTACTCACTCTCTGTCTATGTGATAGTAATCTTCTGAAGTTAATGCATCCAGGATGTTCACATCATTCTATTGCATGTTATGGACAATTTTTGTTTTCCCAAACTATATACAATTTTTGTGTTTTTTTTTCAATTTTTTCAGGTAATGTAGTACGTTTTCTGGATAAAAAATGGACCCCATCATCATCTGAGTCGAAAGAATCAACAAATACTGCTTCTGCTGCTGGTGCTGCCTTAGATTTGCCCAAGATACGACGTAATCCTCTGATTGAAATCCTCCCCATCAGTACTGGCTGTTTAAATTCATGCACCTATTGTAAAACAAAACAAGCCCGTGGTGTGTTAGCCAGTTATCCAATTGAACAATTGTTGGATCGTGTTAGACAAGCATTTTCAGGTAGGTAGGTAGGTAGGTCTTTGTGTGCCTGTGTGTGTGTGTATATGTGTTTAACACTTCACCTTTTTCTGCTCGTAAACATTAACACGTGAAAAGAAAACCTAGTAGGTATTATCTAATTAAGAATAGCCATTTGCGTCAGTGATTCACCCGACTAATAGCTACTATCTTGACGTGGTCGTCAGGCTTCTATATTGCAATGATCCAACAAGTGAAATACCACTGGTTGGGACTAATGTTCCTGCAGGTCCTACTGTAAAAACAGAAGACAAGAGTTAGGCAACAGATCGTTTATTATGGAAATCAACACATATTTATAGATTTTCATGTACATTACATTATAGATTATTGTTAACAGAAAAACACAGTCTTCTGTTTGGTTGTTTTTCATAGAAAGTTGACCTTGCATTTCTTTGTGATTGTTTCTTGAATGTCAGATCATCTATATGTTAACTGTATCCGCCCACGGAAAGCCTTTGTTCTCATTTTTCTCACGACCAATATTTGGGACATAAACATTGACATAAATTAATGTCTACCGATTTGGTTAGCAGCCAGCTCTCACCACACTACCATGCCAGAAAGGTTGTTTGGATAGCTGTTAAACTGAAAGCAGTTATCATCACATAGTGTAAACCGCTCGCACTATATTGGAGAGGGAGGGTTGATGGTGAAATCGTTCTGTTGGAGAATGGGGATGCTACACAGTAGTAAGATGTCTCCCTCAGATAGCCAGTAGGCCAGCTGTTTCACCTTTCCGTTCTGGAGAGGGGGATGAGGGTTAGAATAGGTCGACACCAACTTCTGTCTTTAGCCGGTGGTAAGATCTTAATATGGACGCAATTCCAAAACTCAATTCAAACGGTTCGTGTGTGTCATCAGCCTCAACCAGATATCTTTGTGGCTTTGGGGACACGCAAAACCAGCGCTCTTTCTGTTTCAAGAAACCAGCTTCAGCAGCTGGGAAGTAATAATAACCCGCACGCTTCTATAAGCACACAATGCCTTCTGACAATCTCTCACATTCACCTCTATGACTTTCATCATCTTGCTCTTATCCCACTGTTAATACTATCTCACAGTCAAGTCTTTCACCTTCTCTCGGTGGTTCGATTGTAGAATGTTTGCCAACCAGACGCACGGTCTAGGGTCGGATTACCGACCGACGCATTCGTGAGTCTCGCTTAGCTTGTGGTAGTTAGTCTGGTAAAGGGGAAGAGTTGGATGTGTGGGACCAGCAACCTTACGCCATAAAACAAACAACACCTTCGCCGACCGAAAGCTGCTACCTTGACGTGGTGGTCGGGCTTGAACACCGCAATGACCTAATCAAGCTATACTGGCTGAGACTTATGTCTCTTGAGGTCCTACCATGCCAGGCAGGTTGTTTGGATAGCGGTTAAACAAAAAGCAGCTACCCAATCCAACATCATGTCCAATACAAAATCACAAAATTTCATGCCGGATCGGCCGTGGCCCGGATTAACAACGACCGCGCTTCCTGCTGCCGTGTCACAGGGCAGGAGTGATAAATCTGCTACTGAGACACACCAAACAAAAAGAACAAACAAAAACAGGCCGCGTGTGACCGGCCTCAAGCAGTTGTCCCCTGGGCTCTGCGGTCACGCAACCAACTTCCACGGTGTGGGCAGCCGGGAAGTAACAATCGCCCTCACAATCCGAAATGCACACGAAACCTCTCTATTACTCACTCATCTTTGTCTTCATCTTCATCTCTATCATCTTGCCTTCCTTCCACTGATGCAACTCCTCGACTTGATAGCTCTCCACTTCCTCTCCACTCTGCGTCCACTAAAAACGATGGAAGCCAAAAAACCACCACCGACAGCCTCTTAAAGCCGCGCCACCAATTTCATATAGGAGCTCTTAATGTTAGGACACTTTGCCAAATAGGACAACAAGCATCACTAGCCAAGACCCTGGCATCACGAGCCATTGATGTATGCTGTGTTTCAGAAACACGCATACAAGACCCAAGTGTGGTTATTCACCTAACCCCACCTGGCCAACAGGTTGAATCTGCAAAATTCACCTTGAGGGTGTCAGGAGATGCCACAGCTAGTTCACGAGGATTAGCTGGCGTAGGGATAGCTTTGAGTACTAGGGCAGAAAAGACATTGCTTGACTGGATCCCGGTAGATAGCCGAATGTGTGCTGTCCGCCTGAACGGATCAGTAAGAAGGAGGAAGGACTGCACTACTCGCCGATGCCTTTTCGTAATCTCCGCCTACGCCCCCACTGACTGCAGTTCAGATGAAACGAAGGATGAGTTCTACCAAAAGCTGTCTAGTTTGGTGGAAAGGCTAAACGCTCAGACATAGTCGTTCTAGCTGGTGACTTTAACGCTCAAGTAGGGAAATTGTGTCAATCTGAGAAGGATGTCGGTGGCACCTATGGAGTTCCGTGCCAGCGAACCGACAACGGTGACCGTCTCCTACAGTTCTGCTCTGATAATCATTTGTTTCTTGTAAGCACTAACTTTAAACACAAGGAGAGACACTGTTTGACTTGGAGACCCCCTTCATCAAACCAACGCTGGACACAAATAGACCACATAGCAATAAGCTATCGTTGGCGTGGGTCGGTAGGAGATTGTCGCTCCTTCTGGAACACGTGCGTAGATACCGACCATGCACTGGTCCGCGCTCGGGTGTGCTTACGACTGAACGGACGTAGGAAACAGCTGGCGGTAAAACCATCACGTCCCCAGCTCGATCAGGAAACTAAATCCGTATTTCAGGAAGAACTAGCTAAACACATATCTGTGTTCGACAGCTGTGCTCACCCTGAAGAAGCTTGGAAAAATATCCAGGCAGCCATAGATACAGCTGTAAAAGCTGTGAATAAGGTAAACCCAAAGGTGAGTAAAAACCACTGGATCTCCACCGCCTCATCCGAACTGATAGATGCTAGAAGACTTATTCCGGCGAGCTCCGAATTCAATGAGGAGCGAAAGCTGCACAAGAGGAAACTTACGAAAAGTCTCCGCAAGGACCGTGAACAGTGGTGGGCGACAAAAGCCAAAGAGATGGAGAAAGCTTCGAGGATAGGCAACACCAGGCAACTCTTTGGACTCATCAGGGAAACGGGTGGGAGAAGACAAATCATTAGTGAGACAATCTCGGAAAAAAATGGCACTATAATTAGCTCCCAGGATAGACGACTGGATCGTTGGAAAGAGCATTATGAGGAGCAGTTTAATTTGCCCACAGCCACGCTCAACCTTCCGAGCATCCAACACCTCCCTGAATGGGATATAGACACAGGTCCTCCGTCACTAACTGAGGTTACTAAAGCTGTCACCAATCTGAAACTAGGCAAAGCAGCGGGACCTGATGGAATGACTCCAGAGGTATTTAAGTACGGTGGAGACAGCTTACTGTCCGGATTAACTGAGGTACTAGGCAGCGTCTGGGAATCAGAAGAAGTCCCATCGGGTTGGTGTAAGTCACTGATTATCCCCATATACAAGAAGGGAGACAAGTCTTCCTGTGATAATCACAGAGGGATTAGCTTGACTAATATAGTATCTAAAGTCTTAGGCTCAATAATCATGCGTAGACTGAGTGGTGCTCGGGAAGCACAAACACGAGAGAGCCAGGCAGGCTTTAGACCAGGAAGAGGGTGTATTGATCATATCTTCACCCTCCGACAGATTCTAGAACATAGGCATTCCTACCGGCGTCCAACAGTCATTATATTTCTTGACCTAAAGGCAGCATTCGACTCTGTCGATCGAGAAGTTCTCTGGAGATGCTTGGCTGTAAAGGGAATTCCAAGAAAATATATTGCACTGATTAAGGCACTCTACTCGTACTCATACAGCCAGGTGAGGGCTTACGGCGAGCTGTCATCTGAACTGATGACGACCAGTGGTGTCCGTCAAGGATGCCCATTATCTCCTTTTCTATTCAACTTCATCATAGATGTGTTAATGGACTTAACCCTAGGTGACTTCAGCGACTCAGGGATTGACTTGCTACCGGGGAATAATCTCGTTGACTTGGAATATGCAGACGATATAGTCCTTCTAGGCGAAGACGCTGACGAAATGCAGAGTCTTCTAAACACCTTGAGCCGCAATCTACGAATGTTTGGCATGCGATTCGCTCCCGCCAAATGCAAGATGATGTTACAGGACTGGACTACATCGACGCCTAGTTTAAAAATAGGAAGTGAAGTGGTAGAGCACGTTGACCGCTTCACTTATTTGGGAAGTACCATCAGCCCCAACGGGCTGATCTCTGACGAAATCTCAGCACGAATACAAGGGGCTCGTTTCGCATTTGTTAGTTTACGCCGACTCTGGCGTAGACGAGATGTTCGACTATCGACCAAAGGGCGGGTGTACTGCTCATCAGTCCGCTCCGTCCTCCTTTATGGTTGTGAGACCTGGCCACTGAGAGTGGAAGACATGAAAAGACTAGCTGTCTTTGATCATAGGTGCCTGCGTTCTATTTCCCGTGTAAAGTGGCATAATAAGGTGAGCAACATGGAGGTTAGGCGTAGAGTTCTAGGTAAACAGGGGAAATCAATCGACGAAGTCGTGAAGCTACAAAGACTGAGATGGTTAGGACATGTGTTACGTATGCCAAGCCATCATCGCCTCCCTCGACGAGCAATGTTAGCGGATATAGGGTCAGGCTGGAAAAAAGCTAGCGGCGGTCAAACAAAAACTTGGCATCAGTCAATGAAATCCACAACAGTTGGTCTAAGCCACGTAGGAAGGTGTAGACTTCCAGGCTGGGGTCCTCGGGACGGTAAAAATCTATGGTTGGAAACAATTGGTGACATGGCTCAAAATCGTTCTCAGTGGCGCAGATGCATCCACTCCCTGTGACTTATGATCTTCAATGAAACTGTTTTGTTTTTCTTTATTACTCCTTTGTCTCACACCTCTGCTCACTGTTTCTATTATGCTTTTCTTGTACTTTCTTCTCTTGCTTCGCGTGCTACACGGAATGTGGCGACTTGAACTTCCGCACATTTGTGCAAAGTTCTATGTCGAAAACAGACAGACAGATAGACATTGAAATGTCACAGCTCAAGGTTCCAACTGAAACACTAAGGAATGAAGAGAAGATGAATGTAACTGCTGCACTGCACTCGAATTGAATTCGCAAAAAATCACCTGCAATTTTTTTTGACTTCTTTGAGTATCAGTGTTTTAAAAGCATTAATTGTGTCCTCTATATTACAGCGACAAGACTGACATTTGGGATCAAACCTATCCAAACAAATTAATGTAAATTTGTTGATGATATATATATATATATATATAAGTTCCCGGTCGACGCACTCCTAATCCTCATTAAGTTGGGGAAAATAGAAGGTTGAGTGTGAGGCTAGCAACCGCACCCCGTAGAAACAAAACCACTGCTACCGAAAAATGAAGCTGTATATTCCGCTCGGAACGTAGAGAAATAAAATATGAATAAAGCAAGAACAACAGTTGTGGTTTGTGCAGAATAATATGCTACCATCATTTATTTCGTTGGCTTCTCATCAGCTACTTACAGCCTAAATAAATTATGAGGTTTAAGTACAGAAACGTTTCAACATACTTACAAATTTTACATGTTGTCAGTTGACAGAAAGTTCCACAATTAGTGAACAGTGCTCAGAAAACTGCGCTTATATAGTTTTTGCACAGCCAGTTCAAGTTAAAACAAAATAAATGCATGCATACAGCTGCAAAGGAGTTACGTAATAAAGACGAAATATGCGTTAGATACAGAGTGACTAATAAATTAGGTAACAATATACTGGGTTCAACTCAAGTCATAGAAACAAGAGACAAGAAAAACTACAGATTATAAAAGGGGGTGAGGTTGGAGACAAAGATTACGTAATCAGATAAGAGAATAAAGACATTCAGTTACCAGGACAAGGAAAGACCAATAACTGCTTCTTTCTGAACACATAAATCTGGTTTCAAGCGTTTGATGGAAATTGCTTCAGCAAACTTGAGGAGAATCGAGTTCCTTTGTCTATTGATAATTTTAAAGGATTTCTTGATTTCTACCTCATGACCTGTGTCGAGGAGATGTCTAGTAATAGTGCTACTATAAGATTTTGTTCCCTTGAGATGTAGGCTTTTTGGTACATGTTCAGAAAATCGAACATGTGCGCCCTTCTTTCTGTTCTCCCAATGTAACTGCTCCCGCAGATACATATAAATTTGTATTGCACCTTCGAATACACCCAAAAATACATGACAGTTTAAACAGGTATGCACTTGTCGGGCATGGAGGCTATTTCGCGCCACGCTTTGTGCTGGTAACACACACAAACACATATCTTCAGACTCCGTAATTGAACCATACTTCAGTCATATATATATATATATATATATATATATATATATATATATATATATATATATATATATATATATATATATATGACAGCTGAACGTAATTTTGTCCTCAGTTAGTGATGTTCTCATTGAGGCCGGAACTCCTCAATACTCGCGGTGTTACACTTGAAAGCATTGTCTTCTATGCCACTGGACTGGTAGTTCTGCACTGAATTCGAATTTAAAGCTGAAGTACCGTTATTCACTGAGGATACTGCAGTTACATCCAGTTGACAAGTACCAAATAAGAAGAAATTTACATCTTAGATTCTACTAATAACCAGTCCCAACTGAATAACACCTTGTTACCTTTCCTCGACTGTATAGTGGTAGGTATCTCCGCCTGTTACGTAGAGGGCCCGGGTTTGACTTCCGAGTGAAAGAACTGGCTTTAGCGTCAGTGGCACAGCGGTAGAATGCTCACCAGCCACACCACAGGTGGTTCGGGGTTCGATCCCCGGCCGACGCATTCCTAAACCTCGCTGAACCAGTAATAAGACTGGTAAAGAGGGAAGGTTGGACATGAGGCTAGCAATTCCATCCTGTAAAAATATATACCACTGTTACCGAAACTTCAAAGCTATAGCTTGAAGCCCTATTTTTCACTGGGAACGTAAGGGGATAAAAAACCTTATGGCATCCTTGAAGTGTCCGTGCTAACACCTGACATATCAACAGAGGTTAATAAAGCAGGATTGAACGAATTCATCAAATTTCGGTAGGACTCGTCAGCTGAATACTCTACATACACGGATATATATGTATATGTACTTTTAAAATTACATTGGGAGATATAAGACTGATAAGTAAACAAACTACATTGAATTAAGAGATGATGTATAGGAAGTAGTCAAACGAAGAGTCGATAAAGCCAACAAGAGAACTTATTATGCTGCAAAACTTGTTATCCTTAACACCACCAAGCGAGTGCTTCAACAATCTGGGAAAGACCAGTCGCCAAACCTCGACACTTCAAACTCCATATATCAAATTGAGTGTGTTTGTGGCAGCAAATACATAGGTCGTACGGAAAGGCGATTGTCTACTCGCATGATGGAGCATTTCCCAAGCTGGTTGAAAACAGCTGTGTGCAAAGTGTTAAAAACCTCAAAAACAACAAAACATCTTATGGATTACGGACATGATATCGACGTGGTCAAGTCATTCACCGTTGTCAGCAAACAAAGAAACAAGAAGATGCTTGCAATTGCAGAGGCTTGGGAAATTCGATTTTATAAACCAGGTCTCTGTGTACAAAAGGAGATGGTCGTCACTGTGAATCTACCATGGTAATACGTTTTACTTATTATTTTCCCTTTTATTGTTATTATTCTTGATTCATTTAAAACTATACTTTATCAGTTGGATTATCTCAACTCACTTCAACACTATTATTATTATAACTATTACTATTGATATTGATATTAGTCTGTTTGCAATTCTCGTTATATTCCCTAACGACTAATTGTTTATCTAAGTGATGTAATTGAAGCGTAACGCAATTCATCTTATTCCATTATGGGTAAATTTTGTTTTGATAAAGTCTCACAGTGTTGTTATACGGTAATGTTTACTGATGACCACGTTCCGAACACAATTTATTGCCATTCATAATCATATCAAGGTAATCACATGACTTCCTAAATTCATTTATATAGTTCCATTATTTTTCACTTGATTTGATTGGTAATAGTATTTTCCATATATCAGGTATGAGTGACGAGTCATTCCTATTGCATTTGTTAGGTGCAGACTCGATGAACAAGGATTCAGTAATCAACCTCTCTCTCCACCTAACTATATGACTTTTTACAATTTTAACCCTCTCCCACCCTATTATATGGTTGTGTATTAATGCATGCATTGCAATTTCTGAGCTTTTTTCCAAATTACTTATCTTCTCGGGGTCAACCATTCTTATGTTCTGGCAATCTGACTACCCCTGTTCACCTAACTCACAGTCATTGCAAGGTATTTTGTAAATTATATTATTTTGTCTAATTGGGTCAACTGGGTCCTTTGACCTACAGAGCTTGTCCCAACACATGCAGTAGGAATAATTCATCACTCATACCCGAAATATGGAAAATACTACTGTTAATCAAATCAAGTGAAAAATAATGGAACTATATAAATGAAGTTAGGAGGTCGTGTGATTACCTTGATAGGATTATGAGCAGTAATAAATTGTGCTCGAAACGTGGTCATCAGTAAACATTACTGTATAACAACACTGTGAGACTTTATCAAAACAAAATTTACCCATAATGGAATTACACTCTACCACAGTGCAAAAGTTTTATTCTTATAGCAATTTATCTTAATTTTGATCTCTCATACTCTCTCTCTCTTCTTATCTATTTGAACATGACCTGTAAAACATTCGCACGTGTCTTTCTGCATGACTAATTCAATGTAATTTATGCATCAGTGTTATATCTCCCAATGTAATTTCAAATGTATATATATCCGTGTATGTAGAGTATTCAGCTGAGGAAGAGTTCTACCGAAATTTGATGAATCCATCATTAAATCCTGCTTTATTAACCTTTAATGCTTGTTTTAAATTCTTATCAGGAAATAAATGTTTTCAATATTAATAGAGACTGAGCTTTTTTTTCATTCAATATAATTAATGAATGAATTAATTAATTAACTAATAGGAAATTCAAAATCCTAATTTTTTAATGAACAACTTTATTTAGTGTTTTAATTTTTCTGTTAAAAAATTTTCTTCTGTAGATGGTGTCAAAGAATTATGGCTCACCTCAGAAGATCTTGGTGCATATGGACGTGATTTAGACCGGGCGAATTCATCATTGATTTGTCCAACACTTTCTGCGAAATGGCCTCATTTCATTACACTGGCTGATCTGTTGGCCGGTATTATCCCATTGATACCAGCTGGTTGTATGCTAAGGCTGGGTATGACAAATCCACCGTATATATTAGATCAGCTGGTTGAAATTGCTGAGGTGTTATCCCATCCTAGAGTCTACTCATTTATTCATATTCCTGTTCAGTCGGGTAAGTTTGTTTTTTAATACACCTATTCCTCTTGTTTTTTTCCTTCACGTTCCCCAGTGGAACATAAGGCTTCAAGCTAGGGGCTTGAAGTGTCTGTAATAGTATTTGCTTTACAGGATGGGGTTGCTAGCCTCATACCCAACCTTTCCTCTTTACCAGGATTATTTCTCGCTTAGAGAGGTAAAGGAGTGCATCGGCCGGGGATCCAACCCGGACCATGTGCATGGTCGGCGAGCGGGCTAACCCCTATGCCACCGACGCTATTCCTCTTGTAATATTATTGTAATAATAATAATAGTTTTATTATTTCATGCATTTATTCCCTTTAATGAATTTGAACAAAGCAAGAACTACAGTTTTATCAGAATAAAATGGTACCATCTTTACTTCGTTGCCTTCTCGTCAGCTCAGCTGCTTATAGGCCAGAGACATTATTAAAGATATCTACAAAAGCAATTTTAACATACTTGCACAGAGTTCATTTTAAACAAAAAACCAATCGATCAATATATCTATACAGCAATAATATATATATATATATATATATATATAATATTAAGCACTATTCCGAACAATAATCATACACAATGGAAACCAGTATTACTCATTCAGATGCAAGAGAGAGATAAAAATATCCAGTTACCAGGGCAAAGAAAGACTAATAACCGCCTCTTTCTGGACGCATAAATCAGGTTTCAGGTGCTTGATGGAAATGGCTTCAGCAAACTTAAGGAGAATTGAGCTATTTTGCTTATTGATAATTTTGAACGACTTTTCAACGTCCACCTCATGACCCGTGTCGAGAAGATGCCTGGTGATGGCACTGTTTAAAGCATTTGTTCCCTTTAGACGTAAGCTTTTTGGTACATGTTCAGAAAATCGTAGATATGCCCTTCTTTCTCTCCTTCCAATGTAACTGCTCCCACACATACATGTAAATTTGTATACACAGTTGGAGGTAACATGAGAAGGATATCTATCGATTTTTGATTGCACCAAAGAGCAAGTTGTTCGATAGACGGGAACGAGCTTAGCTGCAGGATGGGTTCTGGTTAGTGATGTACTCAGCCTTCTGTTGATCATCGCTGCAATATTTTCACCTTTATAATCAAGCTGAAGGTAGACTGGCTTTTTTCCACTGGGATTTGCTTTACATTTGTGACTTCAGATCTTCCATACTTGTTGATGAACCTTTGAGGATACCCATTTCTCTTCAATATATTTTCAAGGAACTCAAACTCCTCCTCTAGTTTCTCCTTAGACCATATTCTCCTCGCTCTATAGTACAAAGTTTTGACTAGACCACGTTTAAAGCTATGTGGACAAAAGCTATTAAAATGCAAGTATTGTCCTTTCCATGTCGGCTTTGGATAAATTGACTTTTGAAGACTACCGTCTTCTAGGCGATCCATGGCGATGTCGAGGAAGTGAAACTTTCCGTCACTTTCGTGTTCCATAGTGAAGTCAATATTGGCGTGTGCACCATTGAATAATCTTAGTAAGTGTGAAGCATGACTTTTATTTTTGCACACAATAAATGTGTCATCAACATAACGACAGTAGGAAGATGTTTCGTCGATTGCATGCTTCAGCTTTAATCTTTCAAGGTTAGACATGAATATATCTGCTCTAAAACAGGGCTAAGTGGACTGCCCATAGCTACACCATCTATTTGGCGGTAAAAGGTGTTGTCAAATAGGAATTGCACATCCATGGTGCACATAAGCAGTAGGGGTTTGAATTCAGACTCTGGGAGTGGGAGAAATTTTAACATACTTGCACAGAGTTCAGTTGTTGTTGTAGATATATTTAATAATGTCTTTGCCATGTATGCAGCTGACGAGAAGGCAACGAAATAAAAGATGGTACCATTTTATTCTGCTAAAACTGTAGTTCTTGGTTTGTTTAAGTTTTATTATTATTAAGATTCTGTTAGGTTTCAGGTGGAACATATAGCTTCAGCAGTCCTCTTTACCTGACCCTATGATTGCCTATAGGCTCCGGTTACGTTTTCACACGACCTGCTCCATATCACAATCAAAATGACTTCCAGCTAGTTGTTTTCTAGTGTAGTTCCACTCAGCGGACTCCTCAGCGCATGTTCAGGTCATCTCCATTTCCTTAGGCATATTTACCGGTTGGTCCGTTTCCCGCCAAAGTTCTCCGTTGCTTATCCATTGTGACCGGCAGATCATCTATGATCTTCAGTATCTAACAGAAGCAGCTGTTGGAAATGCTTTTCGTGACGTCCACTGCAAATCTCTGAACTATATTAGAAGTGTTTGAGACTAACTTGACATTTGTGTTGAAAATCACAATCCTGTTCTGTATGCTGACTGACTGCAGTATTATTTCCACTGATTGATTCTACCTTTTGATATCCTCATATGTGGGGCCCGAATAAGTGAAAAAAGGCATTTCCTTCAAATTTCTTCAGTTGATGGTGAATGGTGCTCGTTGTTTTTAGTTGTTGTTGTTTATCTTCATCACATCCGTCTTCTTTATGTTCACTTAAACTGCCCCCGCTGCGTTTTAATAAAGCTTATATATATATATATATATATATATATATATATATATATGAAGTCATTGTTGTTGCTCATTGCTTGCATCCCGAGTGGAACATTCCGCGTCAACAGGCATATTTTCGGCGCCACCAATTCCATCTGGCGACACGACTAGCCATAAGGTTTCTGTTATGTACTCATCGCCAAATTATTGTTATGTACTGGTCGAGAATTTAATAGTCCTGACGCAAGAAAGACGGAAATCAGAAGACCACTAGGTTTGCGATGATACTTCTATTTTCCAAACACAAGGAGAATCAAAATGTCACACAAGAGTGTGAGAGCAAAAATATATATGAATGTCCGAACAAGTGTGTGAACAAATCAATAGACAGTCTTAACATGATTGGCTAATTATAATGGAGTATCGATCCATATATACATAGCAAAATATAGCAGACATGTCAACAAACACACATATTATGTGGATATATATCACCAAGGACAGACTGTCAACAAACACACATATCTATAATATAAGGGGAATATACATTATTAAAGGAGACAGGTTCATCAAAGTGAAATGGTCACAGGCTAAGAGAGCAACAGAAAGAGAGAGACCACCATACGCATATATATATATATATATATATATATATATATATATATATGGATACATATCAGTTTCTTTTCCTCCTATTCGCTTGTTACGTAACGACGAAAACGCATTCTTGGACAGAAAGAATTCAACAAAGAATATTTTCTTACAACAATTAGTTGCCTTTATGAATTTAGACAAAGTAATAAGAAGACGTAATTTGTCTGAATCTTGTAATGTACAAAAGAGCCTTAGTGAGCGAGGTGTCTCTTCAGTAGAATCCAACGACTATGCAATGAAAACACACTTGATGATGAGAAAGAAAGAAAGAAAGTTGACACAAACTCGGGTTGATAATAATCATCCAGACAAGTTCATCAGGAGATAGATACGAAGAAGTCAGAACACCAAGACCCATTCTCCAACTCACCCCTAAGAAAGACGTATACATCAAGCTAGCTACCCTATATGGGGCATCATAGCAGCTTGATAACTAAACAAAGATTGAACACTGCTATGGTTAAAAAGACATTTTATGCAGCTAATATCATGATAATTGAGAAAGTGAAGCCAATATATCCATCTAAGCCCTTTGAACATGCGAGAAATGATGTCACATCCCACTACATTTACCAATTTGAATGTGTTTGTGGACACACACATACATAGGGAGGACTCATCGATCTCTGCAAGTAAGGGTCGGCTTCAGAGCATATTTCTAAATGGCTCCAGAAGCTAATAGGATCCCAAGAACCCATTATTGGTGAGAACAGTATGTAACAACAAAAGACAAGGGCCAGGCAACAGATCGTTTTATTACGGAAATCAGCACGTATTTATATATATAGCTTATTCAAGCAAACAAACACAGTCTTCTGATTGGTTGTTTCTTGCTCAAGGTTATTCTGTACTGCTTGTGACTGGTTCTTCAGAAAGTTAAGCCATATATCTGCGAATCGTATTTGCCTACGTTAAGTCTGCTGTGATTGGTTGTTGAATCAGCCTTGTACATATTTTCTCGCGGCCAATATTAGCGACCTAGACATTGACATGCTAAGAACCAATGGTTGGAGACTATCGGTGATATGGTTCAAAATCGTTCTCAGTGATGGCGTAGATGTGTAACAACAGAAGGTAAGCCAGGGGAGCCAAAGTATATATTTCATTGATCAAACAGCTGTTTATATATATACAGTTTATGTTATGTAACCAGTCACTGACCGCGTGATTTCGGTTTACATCAAACAACATGAAAGAGAATGATTAAATATACATAGTATTCTGTTGTTAATGCCGACTTGAATTGTGGGGATATGTGAGAATAATATTCCGTTGGTGCACATTGTCTGTATCACACAACTACACTCGCCCCCCCACCCCACGTCAAATACTTTCGACAGAAGTCTGTTCGATCTTCTTAGTGCTGGTGGCTTTGTTAGCTTGTCCTGTTGTATCGAGTTCCCGAGCTTACTGACGTTCACCTGCTTCTCTTTGTTTGCATTTCTGATCGTATATATGTGACCCCGTCTCACGGTGACTATTTATGGTCCTTCTCACCTTGGGAGCAGTTTGCATGATCCTGGGTCGTATACGCCGCTGTTTCGCCTCACACTATCTATCATATGCTGCCGTCATCCGACCTCCTAGCAGCGTTCCGAATAACAGCTTCATCACTGAAGGATCTTGAACGCCACTTAACCTCGCAACACAGCCTCGAAGTCCTGCAAGAAGAAGATCCATACATCTCCTTTTTCAAGGACTGCAGGGCATAGGTCGACAGGCAGCGACACCAAATGTAACAACAGAAGGCAAGGGGCATGGAAGCCAAGGTATATTTTCAAGTGATCAAACCGCTGTTTATATGTACACAGTTTATATTCTCTAACCAATCACTTCTTGTGACTCCGCTAAAAACTCGTGTTTATTCCCCACTTCTCCCATATATTTCTAAAGTTCTGAATTCCTTTTCTCTCTGTTCTCTACCATTGTGTGCTACATGTAATGTGACGAGTAGAATTACTTCATTTCTGTACAGACCTCTATATTGAAACTCAGTCAATCAGTCAGTCAAGATGACGAAGACTGGTAATCAGTCTCTTGATAATAAATTATCTTGTATAGTTTTCATTCTCCATTGACTAATAGCAATGTTGATCTTCTACTGGTTCTAGTTCTTCCAACTTTTAAGAAGTATTACTTCTGTTGGAGGTGATTGATACCTACTACGCATAAATTTGTCAACAACCCTAGTTCTTTAAAGTGTTGGTTTGTAGGGATTTGGTTGGTTACAGGATTTCATCATGAGCTGACAAGCCAACACTTCACTATCGATGAGATGCTCACTGGCGACTTGCCCTATTCAGGTAGGTAGTTACCTGGGGTTCTAGTGAGAAGTCGTGACCACCAGTAGGGTGCAGCAGGTCGAGTGTGAGGACAAATACTTACCGAAGACATTGGCTAAGGGTCGCTGTATGTCATGAATTGGCAGAAGTTAGAATTCATGGACTGGCCATTGAATCGGGTCCCAGTGGCTTAATGGTGTATCAGCTAGCTCACCTTGTAACCAGAATGTCCTGGGTTCGAACCATGGTGGTCTGGGTGCGTACTGATGAAGAGTCCCAAACTAGGACGAAACAACTGTCCAGTACTCCCAGGTTTTCCAATGGCTCTCTAACTAATATCAGCTCATGATAAAATCCTGTAACCTTTATTTCTTCTTAACTGAAATGTGTAGATGTTGGCGTAAGTGCTCGACTTTCAAACAATGAGTCCCAGATTCAAATCCCAGCCCGCTTACTTCACTCTGCGCAACTAAGTAGTATTGTAACAACAGCAGACGAGGGCCAGTCAACAGATCGTTTATTAAGGATTTTCATGTACATTATTATAGATTATTGTTAGCAGAAAAACAGTCTTCTGATTTGTGGTTGTTTCTTACTAAAAGTTAACCTTGCATCTCTTTGTGGCTGTTTCTTGAATGCCAGATCATCTATCTGCTAATTGTATCCGCCTACGCATAGTCTTCTGTGATTGGTTGTTGAGTCAGGACATAAACATTGACGTAAAGTACTGGCTACCAGTTTCGGCTAGCAGACAGCTCTCACCACAGTATTACCCAATCTTCATACTATAATTGTTGCTCTCACAGTGTAGTATATGATAAGTTTGTGCACCTAAGAGCTGAGTTCCAATCTTCTAACTCACTAACAACACTTCCAATGAATTGATACACGCTAGTGACTTAGCCAGAAAGGATTACCAACGAGAAACTCTGACGGACAACAGACCATCCAACAAACCAATAAATATGCTGAAGAAAATGGAGATTTAATTGAACACACACTGAGGAGACCGTTAAGTGGTACCACACACACACACACTCGCACGCTAGACAGACCTTCAGTTGGAACCCGAGTGGGAAACGACAAGTTGTAGATGTCGGTGCGACAGTGACATGGAGGAGATCGTGGAAAGAGGAGATGAGAGACAGAGAGCCTATAGGGAATTATATACAGTCAGCTACAGAGGAGGATTACCTGGAATAGAGTGGAATGAAGACATACTGTTGTGAAGCCTCTGTGCTACACTCACGACCCAAGAGGATAATAATAATAGTAAAAATAAAAGTGATGGACAGTTAAATTTATATCTAACCATGATAACACATTTTATTTTATTTTTTCATTTATTTTGTTTAATTCAATAGGTTCAGACGCTGTATTAGATGCCATGAAAAGAGAATATACAATTGAAGAATTTTCACGTGTTGTAGATTATCTCAAGGAGAATGTACAACCTACAAATTTGTAAGATGAAATTTTTTTAATTGATTGATTAATTGATTACTATTAGAACAAGACACATAAGCGAACAATATTGCTGTTTTCAATTAGATCTTCTTCAGGCTTTACTCTAACTTACATAGATTTATATATAAGGCAGTTTAACCAATGACGGTGATTTTGTGGATCAAATTATAATAATGGATGGATGTCCCACTGACGACAATGGTTGGGGTCGCGCTAAATCACGAATTGGTAGAAGTTAGAATTCATGGGAGGACTGTTGAGTTGAGCCACAGTGGCTTATCGGTCTATGAGCTTGCTTTGTAACTGGAAGGTCATGGGTTCGAGCCCTGGCAGTGGGTGCGTACTGCCGATAATTCCCAAAGTAGGATGAAACAGCAGCTGTCCAGTACTCCCAGCTGGTTTTTCAATGGTTCTCTAACTGATATCGATCCGTGATCAACTCGTAAAAATAATCATAATAATGTGGTAAATGTTTTGAACGTCATTAATAAAGATGATTATAATGATAACAAAATATAGATAATGAGGTTTATGCAGGTGGTGATAAGAATAACGAAAGTAGTATTGTGTGTGTGTGTGTATGTAGACAATTCAATAAAAAATAAATTAGGTTAAGTCTCAAAAGTTACGTAATACTAAGGGTAGGTGAAGTGGATAGATACTAAGAGTTTAAATAAATATCATAAAAGTACGAAGGAGATGGAAGATAAGAAAGAGCGGGAGGGTTTTGAATAGAACTCACGTTCGTACTTTTAAGATATTTATGTAAACCCTGATTATCTGTCCACTTCACCTACCCTTAGTATTACGTGGCTTTTAAGATTAGACCTAATTTATTTATTTGCTTATTAAATTGTCTACATATACATACATATTACTGCCTTAGCTTCGTTATTCTTATCGCCACCTGCATAAACCTCATTATCTATATTTTGTTGTCATTATAATCATCGTTATCAATGACGTTCAAAAGATTTACCACATTATTATTATTATTATTTGATCCACAAATTCGCTGTCAGTGGTTAAATTGCCTTATATATATAAGTCTATGTGAATTAGAGTAAAGTCTGAAGAAGATCTAATTGAAAACAGCAATATTGTTCCCTAATATACGTCATGTTTTAATATCAATAATGCGAATATTTAATGATTGATTGATTACTGCAAGAAAATATTTTCCATGTTAAGTTTCTAAATGAGTGTTAGTCAACCTGGATATGCTTTCAGTTCTAGTGTAAATATCTTGTGACAAATCGAAAAATCAATTACAGAATCAAGCACTGGACAAGTGTTTCATCCTCGTTTATGACTCTTCATCCTTGTTACTATATGATTCCACCTGAAGTCAAACTGTGAACACCTTACAGTCGCGAACATCGATGAACGTCTCTTTATATACTACTGATAAATCTCATTAGTAGCACAATCCATATCTCCACCAAAACAAATATAATCTGTGACCAATCAGCTGACTTGATGGACTCCATTGATCATAGCTTCTTTGATCTGCGTTAAGGTTGAGCGTTTAGTCTACAAGTCATATTGTGGTGAGAGCTGGCTGCTAGCCAAATTGGTAAACAGTAATTTACGTCAATGTTTACGTCCCCAATATTGGTCATGAAAAAAAATAAGAACAAAGACTGATTCAACAACCAATCACAGCAGACTGCGCGTAGGCGGATACACTTAGCATATAGATGATCTGACAGTCAAGAAACAGCCACAAAGAGATGCAAGATTAACTTTCTGTGAGAAACAACCAATCAGAAGACTGTGTTATTGTGCTAACAATAATCTATAATAATATACATGAAAATCTGTATATATGTCAAAAACTTTGTGGGCTATCAGATAATATTTCCCAATGACTTAACCGGTAATTTAACATCCGTATTATGGACATTAATTGACTGCTTTGTATGCTTTTAGAGCGGTTGGTACTTCTCTGTTGCGTACACTATAGAAGTTAATTTTGGTCCTTCGGGTACCTAAAACAGTAAGAGTATTGGTTGTTGCATGACTATGGAGCCCAGGGGTAACTACTTGACACCTGTTTGAAGCGCATTTTGGAGTTGCATCCGTATTAAGGTCATAGTGCCGGCTACGAACCACGGGAAAAGTTATTAGGGATGTATAGTTTTCTTCATTTTCCCTTCCGAGAGTGAAAAAGTAGTTACAGCTGGCTTGTTGGTCATCTGAAGGGAACACATACAGTACGACTTCTTCCACAGACCCTGAACAGAGTGTGACCACTTGATTATACTATAGTGGTAAATGCTTTTAGTTTGATCTCTCTTTACACAACCTTTTTGGCTTGAAAAATTAATTCCAGCCAGCGTAACTCGTTAAGTCATTGCGATATGCAAGTCCGACCATGACCACGTCAAGACTGCATCTTTAGGTGGAGGGCACTAATTGGCGACTGAACGTTAACGGATGTATCATTTTCATTTATTATCTACTTGTTACGTAATTTCCCTTGAAAAAGAATTACCCCACTTTCTTCTTCTTCTTTTTCTCAATTATTCTAGACCAAATGATGTACCTGACAGTGCACCGAATGGTTGTGGACAGTTAACAATTGCTACAGATATTATCTGTGGTTTTCCAAATGAAACAGAAAATGATTTTAATCAAACTGTCCAACTAATTGAAAAATATCATTTTCCTGTACTTCATATTAATCAATTTTTTGCACGTCCTGGTACCCCGGCAGCTAATATGCAAAGGTAGGTTTTATTATATGCGTTTTGACCACACACACACACACCTTCTTGACCACCAATCCCAGTCATCCACCTGGTTTTTTATTTCGAACTCTGTCAGCTATAGCTGACTTTACTTGTCTTTACTTGTTGTTACTCTGTTGAGTTTAACATTTTTCGACTTTCTTACAAGTTGTTCAACTACGAACCACCCTGACGGTTATCATCTTTATTGGCTGTCTTCAATGGCATGACACTCCATCCATTGTGTATTACAGTAATCGTGTTTCATAATAATGGTAGATATAAGAATTTCTTGTAGTGTTGTTTCTTAAGGTTCACTTACGTAAACCTTGTTTTAACTTTTACTGTCTGTAAACAGTCAAGTTAGGTGGGTTGTCTTCTTGGCATCAGTTGAGTGGCAGTTGAGAGTCCATCCAGCAGCGACATCAATTCAACGGCTTAACTATAAACTACTATTCAATCGGTATTAGTTGTTCAACAACCATCTGAATTTTTTTTTGTATTCCTTTACGTTCCCAGTGGAACATAGCGCGAGGGCTTCAAGCTAGAGGCTTGAAGTTTCGGTAGCAATGGTATTTTTTTGTTTTTACGGGATGGGCTTGGTAGCCTCATGTCCAACTTCCCCTCTTTACCAGTCTTGTTACTAATGGTTTAGCGAGGTAAAAGTATACGTAGGTGTACTAATGGACTTAACCCCAACTCACTTCAGCGACTCACGGATTGACTTGCTACCAGGGAATAATCTTGTTGAATTAGAATATGCAGACGATATAGTCCTTCTAGTGAGAACGCTGACAAAATGCAGAGTCTTCTAAACACCTTGAGCTGCAATCTACAAATGCTAGGCATGCGATTCGCTCCCGCCAAATGCAAGATGATGTTACAGGACTGGAATACACCGACTCCTAGTTTAAAAATATGAAGTGAAGTGGTAGAGCACGTTGACCGCTTCACTTATTTGGGAGTACCCTCAGCCAATCCCAACAGGTTGATCTCTGACGGGATGTCAGTACGGATACAGTGGGGCTAGTTTCGCATATGCCAGTTTACGCCGTATCTGGCACAGACGTGATATCTGGCTGGCTGGTTATCGACCAAAGAGCGTGTTTATTGCTCATCAGTCCGCTCCGTCCTCCTTTATGGCTAGCTGTGAGAGCTGGTCATTGAGAGTGGAAGACATGAAAAGACTGCCTAGTTGTCTTTGATCATAGGTGCCTGAGTTCTATCTCCCGTGTGAAGTGATGGTATAATAAGGTGATCAATATTGAGGTTAGGCATCAGTCGAGTGCTAGGTGAGTGGGAGGGGAAATTAATCGACGAGGCTGTGAAGTTACATCGCCTGAGATGGTTAGGACATGCGTTACGTTTGTCTAGTCATCGCCTTCCTCAACAATGGGCAATGTTAGCTGATATAGGGTCAGACTGGAAAAGAGCTAGTAGCGGCAGTCAAACCAAAACATGGAACCAGTCCATGAAATCTACAACAGTTAGTCTTAGCCACGTAGGAAGGTGTAGACTTCCTGACTGGTTGGGTTCCTCGGGACGGTAAAAACCAATGGTTGGAAACAAGTGGTGATATGGCTCAAACTCATCGTTCTCAATGGCTGGCGCAGATGCATCCACTCATTGTGACTTATGATTTCCAATGTAACTGTATTATTCTTCGTTATTACTATTCCTATGTCTCTAACCTCTGTTTTGCTGTCTCTTTTATATACATTTCTTTTACTTTCTTCTCTCGGTTTGTGTGTTACATGGAAGGAGTGTTGCGACTTGAACTGCCGCACACATGTGCAAATTTCTGTGTCGAAAACAGACAGACAGTTGCCGGAGATCGAATCCGGAACCATCTGTGGCGTGGCTGGCAAGCATTTTACCGCGGTGCCACTGACGCCTCTGAATTCATATCTAACTAATACTGAGACATACCTGATGTCTAAGGCTTGATGATGCTAATATTTGACTGCCTACCAACCCTTATTTAGGGTAGTGAAGCAGGCTGTGAATTCGTGACCACCCCCCTTTTGTGAAATTCGACTGTGTAGATCAATCAGGGACGTCTGAAACAGCGTTTGTTTCAAAAAACGGCATATAATAATAATAGCTTTAATCTGGACGAAGTGTTTACATAATGTACAGAATTCTTAGCCTTATTTATTGCATAATATTCTCCTTTTACCACCAGGATCTTCAATTAAAATAACAATTTGTGATATATATTACGTAACGCAATGCTGTCTTAATTCTGAGAAATGCTCAGTGATAGTTTGAGAGCCGGCTAATTAAAATTGTGCGCGAGTATATTTTTCAACTCATGGACATAATTGAATGGTTAAAACAATAGGAATTATACATTATATGATGCATTGTGTTAGATCTAGTGGTTCAAGACGACAGACTGCTGATTTTATTCCTGTTACAGTTTTATAAGTATCTCAGATTCTTTGTATGTACGATCGTAATGCATCCAACACGATTATCCTACGTTATTATTTTATTTTATTTAAACGCATAAAAACTTGGTACAATATGGCACCAAGAAAGATGCGCCACACAATAATAATAAAGCAACATAGATCAAAAGTAAAAAAAATATAAGTAAAGAACGGATAAAGAACTTCATCTGAAAGGAAAACAGTCATGCTTAACAAGTTCAAACAGTATTCGTTAACTATCATCGGGAAGGGAAGAAAGAAGGAAATCGCAACACGTTCGCCACTGATTACCATTCTTGGCCATATCCGATAACGTTTCGAGCCATCGATTTGAGCTGTTGCTTCATTTGATTTATTGTGTGAGGGCTGAGATACTGCCCGGGCGCCCAGACCGAAGCAGGTGGTTTTATTAAGGGACAACCCCCGAGCCTTCGACTTGGAGTGTAATCCGCTAGGCAGCGGAGCAGCGTCAGGAGCTGCATTCCCATGGTTGACGGTGACCCATATGGGTTCATACGCCATTTGATCCGATTGGATTCTGGAGACCATGTACCCCATGGTAACTGCTTTTAGTTTAATCGCTATCCAAACAACCATCCTGATATGGTAGGACCTGCAGGGACAGAGTTCCAGTCAGTTTAGCTTGTTGGGTCGTTACGGTATTCAAGCCCGACCACCACGTCAAGGTAGCAGTTATCGGCCGGGATCCTACGTCTGTCTGTCTGTTTCCGACATAGAACTTTGCACAAATGTGCGGAAGTTCAAGTCGCCACACTCCGTGTAGCACGCGAAGCAAGAGAAGAAAGTACAAGAAAAGCATAATAGAAACAGTGAGCAGAGGTGTGAGACAAAGGAGGAGTAATAACGAAGAACAAAACAGTTTCATTGGAGATCATAAGTCACAGGGAGTGGATGCATCTGCGCCACTGAGAACGGTTTTGAGCCATGTCACCAATTGTTTCCAACCATTGGTTTTTACCGTCCCAAGGAACCCAACCAGTCAGGAAGTCTACACCTTCCTACGTGGCTAAGACTAACTGTTGTAGATTTCATTGACTGGTGAAGCTATGTTTTGGTTTGATCGCCGCTACTAGCTCTTTTCCAGTCTGACCCTATGTCAGCCAACATTGCCCATTGTCGAGGAAGGCGATGACTAGACAAACGTAACACATGTCCTAACCATCTCAGGCGATGTAACTTCACAGCCTCGTCGATTAATTTCCCCTCCCACTCACCTAGCACTCGACTGATGCCTAACCTCAATATTGATCACCTTATTATACCATCACTTCACACGGGAGATAGAACTCAGGCACCTATGATCAAAGACAACTAGGCAGTCTTTTCATGTCTTCCACTCTCAATGACCAGCTCTCACAGCTAGCCATAAAGGAGGACGGAGCGGACTGATGAGCAATACACCCGCCCTTTGGTCGATAGTCGAACATCCTACGTGATGAAACAACTATCTTTTTATTCCTTCTGATCAGTTATACAAGGCTTACAAATATCGAATAGTTAGGATAGTGGCTTATTTAATTATTTGTGATCATTTAATCATCGAGTGGAAACAATTTTGGGGCCATGTCGGTGACTTCGTCAAAAAGAAACAAAATCGTCTTCTCCGCAAACGTCTTTTTTTTCCTATATTCCTCAGTTCTGACTACTTATCATTATGACACGGAGAATAGCATATGTGTGATGTTTTTTCCACTGTTGACTTGAAACAATGCGCTAACTTCTGCTGGTCAAATTGTACTTTTATCTGATGAAATCTTGGCATGGATACAAATGATTCCTGTACTTTTTGCTATAACTTACGTCGTCGTCGTCTGTGGTGGCGTAGACGTGATGTCCAATTATGTATCAACGGTTCTCTCTATCCGTCTTTGTGGCTGTTAAGGCATAACTGTTGGATTGAGTCCCAGTCTACGAGCTAGTTCACACCAGCCTTGTAACCAAAAGGTCCTTGGTTCGAACCCCACAGTGGGGGTGCGTACTGATGAAGAATCCCAAACGAGGACAATGGAAACATCTGTCCAGCACTTCCAACCGGTTTCCATTGGTTCTCTAACCGATGTCAACTTATCCATGATGAAATCATCCAACCAATCCCTATAAAAGTTGACACTTGAAAGTGAAAGACTTGAAGAGGCTAACTTTCTTTGACTAAAGATGCTTTGTGCCTGCAGCCTCCAGTGTTACTGAAGTTAGACGCAGAGTATTAAGTAAAGGGGTGAAAGCTGAATTGGATGAAATGGCTAGAAGATGGTGTGTCACACACACCAAGTCACTGCCTTTTACGTTGATTAATGCTAGCCAACATAGAATTAGGTTGAAAAAGAATTAAAAGTGTGATCAAATAACAACTACTGTAGCATCAGTCCATGAATTCCTAGATTGTCGGTCTTAAGGATGGATGTAGGGAGCGGCGAATCTCATCAAAATGTTAAGAACCGATAATGCAGCTATATCCAATAAGCCCTCATTATTCTGCATATAATCCCTCTTATTATATTTCCTTTGAGTGCTTTGTGGAATATGGCAAGTTGAACTATTGAACTTCTTCTCTACAAAATTTAACGTTGAAAACAAGTTAGTGTGTCTATAACTTCCATGTCTCAAATCTACTGCGATGTGTTCCTCACGAGTATCAGTTTTTTCCAATCGAATTCTCACTTTTCACATTTCAAGGTGATTATTTCACCGTAGTTTTATTCGGAACCCGACCAATAGCTGCTACCTTAACGTGGTGGTCCAACTTGCATATCACAATGACCCAACAAGCTACACTGGCTGGAACTAGTGTTCCTGTAGGCTCTACCATGCCAGGAAGATTTTTAGGATAGTGGCTAGACTAATAGCAGTTACCGGCATAATGTGAGCACTTTTTTTACTTTATGCTGGGGAACAGGGATGTAACAGCAGTGAGGTGTTTCCCTCAGATGACCAGCATGCCAGCCAGCCAGCTATGCTGTTTCTACACTCTGGAGAGAGATTCGAAAAAAAGTACTCGAAGAAAAAATCAGCTTTGACGGTGTGGGCAGTCAGGAAGTAACAACTGCTGACATACTTCCAAAACCATAGGAAGCCTTCCAGAGCATCATTCTCCTTTATCCACATCACCCTCATCGTCTTACTTCCCTACTGCAGTCAGTCGTACTCTGCAGACTAGTGAGTCATCTTCACTCTGTCACCACAAACAACGAAGGCCTCGTGAAGTCACGTCGTCAACTTCGTATAGAAGCATTTAACGTCAGGACTCTCTACGAAATCGGACAACAGACATCACTAGCCAGAACTCTCGCATCTCGAGTCACAGATGTATGTTGTTTCTTGGAGACACTCATACAAGACCCGAGTGGGGTTACTCGCCTAACACCACCCACCCCACGTGGTTAACAAAGTGAATCTGAAGAATTCACTTTAAGGGTGTCAGGAGACTCCTCAGCTAGTTCACAAGAATTCACAGGGTTAGGGATAGCATTGAGTGTTAGGGCAGAAAAACGACCACTTCTTGACTGGATCCCAAGTGATAGTCATGTGTGTGCTGTCCGTTTAAACGGGTCCGTTAGAAGAAGGAAGGGATGACGTTACTCGTCGTTGTCTTTTCATAATCTCCGCGTATGCCCCAACAGTCAGTTTCATTCAGAAATAGACATAACTCATATCATGCACACTATGTGACCTACTTGTCACCATGAATGGTAGTCAGGAAGCGAAGCTTAAATGCATAAAACTATATACGACTTGATGATTCAGATGAGTAGTGGTATACGAGTTAACATGAACCAGGTGTGCTTGTTAGCTCAGCTCTTTGCTCAAGGTTAAACTGGGTACACCGCTGTTGAACTCAACCCGAAAACGAGGGAAACGGGCCGTTCTCGTTAGCAAGTACTACTCTTTTTTAGTGTGCGTCGTATACTACTACTACTACTTATCTCAGCCAATTAGTAGTATATATCATTTCATGGTTTTTTATGTCAGTTTAGTTCACTCCATTACACTCTTAATTATCGTCTTTTTGTTATTTTTGTATTTACAGAAAAGCGACAACAGCAGAAGTGAAACTTCGTACACGAAAATTACACGATTTATTTCGAACTTATCGTCCTTATGATGGTCGTGTTGGTTGTAAAGTTCGTGCACTGATTACTGAACCAAGTTTTGATGGTAAATATTGGGTTGGACATACAAAAGCTTATGAACAGGTAGGTGGAATGATTACTCGCCCCGTCTTGTGGAACTTTTTTCAAATTACGGAATTTTTTTTATTTATCGTTTTCGTTCAGAGTGTCAATGGTGGTGGTAAGGTTACTTACTAATTGGTAGTCGACATTATAATCTCAGCTGTCTTTGCACCTTTGGATTTTAGGTTCGGTAGGTGGTCAATTCAATGTTTTTTTTAACACCTTCAAGATGACTATTCCATAGTGTGGCTAATGGCAGAACAATAATAATATAATGACCAATATCCGCGACTTGGGACTCTGCAAGAACTGGCGAGGAATCATGCTCCTGTCTACGTCAAGTAAAATTCTGAGTCGCATCATCCTGGAGAGAATTAAGGATGCACTGGATACAGAACTCTGCCAACCAGAACAAGCTGGATTCAGGAAAGGCAAAGCATGGAATGGCAATCAAACCTCTACCTCAACTTTATAGACTTTGAGAAGGCCTTCCACAGACAGCGTTGGCCGCGAAATAGTTTGGAAACTACCCGAGTACTACGGCGTACCCCAAATATTCATCAAAATTATTCAACTGCTGTACGACAACGGCATATGTCAAGTGATCCACAACGGAAAACTCAGTGAGGCGTCTGGAGTAAACACAGGAGTCAGATAAGGGTGCTTATTATCACCCACAATGATATTCCTAATTGTGGTGGACTGGATTATGTGTCAGACAATAGGAAACGAGAAGACAGGAATATGCTGGACCGACTTGAATAAATCAGAAGACCTGGATTCCGCGGATGACTTATGTTTGATGTCACACAAAACCGAGGACTTACAAGCGAAAACCGACCGACAAACTGGTCGAAGAAGCAGTCAGCGAAGACAGGATTCCAAGTGAACATAGAAAATACGGAGGTTATGAAAATAAACAACCAACCAACAACAACAGCAACATCCAGCCCCGATCACCATCTACGGGAGGGATTTGAAAGAGGTCACTTCATTCACTCACTTATCTAGGGAGCATTGTCTCAACTACAGGAAGTCGGAACGGACGAGGATGTCAAATCGAGCGAGAATCGGGAGGCGAGCGAGGAACACATTCATCAACCTGAAACCAATCTGGAAATCTTCGTCACACAACTCAGAATCAACAACAAAATTCGGTCGGATTTCCAATACAAACAAGTTCAAGTCAGTCAGCTCTTCTATACCGATGAGAAACTTGGCGGGCGGGTCACAAAGAATATTTCCAACAACAGCCTGTTGCAGACCTCTATCGACAACTGAAGATCAAATGGCCGGGCCGGAAAGATTCACCACCAACAAGAAACTATGGGAACAGGCAAAACAAGAACCAATCACCAAACAACAAATATGCAGGAGATGAATATAGAAATGGATTGTACACTCGCTGAGGAGGTCGCTGGGTGACATCGCGCGCGCGTCAGGCCATTGCTCGAGTGGAACCCGACAGGATGGGAAGCGGCGAGTGGAACTTTCAAGGGGGACATGGAGGTGATCGTGTGAAGAGGAGTTGAAACAGTATGGACTGACTAACATGGATGCAGGTGAAAATTACAGTAGAAGGAGGAGAGAAGCAAGTGGAGACGTGCAGTTGAAGCCCTATGTTCCACTAGAAACCCATGGGAACAATAATAATATCTGCTGAAGGCTTGTATGTACTTCTTTCAGAAGTGTTGGTGTGTAGATTAATTCCCATTGTACACTTAGTAGTCACAAACTAAAATCAATTAGGAAATCATTGGAAAGCAGTAAGAATTGAAAATAAAACTGTTTCGTCCCGGTTTGGGATTCTTCAGAAGTAGGTTATGTGATGAATGTTCAGAGGTTTTAATGACAAATCTTGGATGCTGGTGTTCATCTATGATATTAGTTTTAGTTACCGGTATATAGAGTGAATTGTCGGGAAGTCAAAATTCAAAGGTCATTTAGTTAGTGTATGGTCAGCAACTTAACCTGGTTACCTAAAAGTTTTGTCTCTGATTCCCTAAGGAGTTATGCATATGCATTGGTTAGGAATTCTAAACTATGGCAGAATGGCTGTCCAGTACGCCGTGATCTTCACTTAATCACTAAGTGGATATTGGTTCATAGCCAAGTCTACATTCATATTTTTTTTTATTTCTGAATGGATCTTATGGGTGTTTGTTGTGTGGTACTACAGTACCCAATCTTCAATATATAATTCTCGTATAAGATGAAATGATGAACTCCATCGTTCAAGAGAAGGAAGCGTATTCGCATATTATGTTACTACTTAGTCATTAATACTTATTCAGACATCATCCTATCAACTCCAGGTCCTATAAATAAGGATATCAAAGCCAATTAGGAATGTGGGGGGGGGCGGAAGCAAGACAGATCTTCATTACTGTTTAATCAATATGTAAATCTGTTGCACTGCACCAAGCATAAATAATCATAATTATTATTTCCTTTAATTCCTAGAGGGGCATAGGGCTTCAGCCGCGCGTCTCCATTGCGTTCGTTTCTCTACTAGAGTTTTCACCTGGCTCCAAGTCTTCCCACATGCTTTCATCTCCTCTTCACATGACTTTCCCCATGTCACCCTCGCACTGATGACCAACTCGCCGCTTCCCGTTCAGGTTCTGCTCGAGAGCCTGTCTTATGATGTCACTTGATGGTTTTCTCAGAGTATGGTCAATCCATCTCCATTTCTTCCTGCCTATTTGTTGCACAATCGATTCTTGGCTAGTTTGCTCCCAGAGATCCCTGGTGCTGATCTTTTCTGGCCAGTCGTCTGATCTTGAGTAGTATTGAGCGAAGACAGCTAGCTGTTGATGAAGGTCTGTAGTATGTTTGAAGTGCCCTTCGTGGCGCGGCGCCAAGTTTCTGATCCGTGTAGTAGCACTAACTGACTTCACATTGCATTTAAAAATCCAGATCTAATTATTCATGTTGAGTGCTGTTGACCTCCAAACAGACTTGAGAGTAATGAAAGCTTGATTTGATATCTTCATCAGCTCCGTCTGTCTGCAGTTGAAACTTTACCTCCCAGGTAGGTAAAGGAGGTTGTTTCTTTCAGGTTCCTCCCATTTATGCTGGCTGATTGTTTTCTGTTGTTGTTGTTGGCCAGGAATCTTCATCGCCTACTTCTGATTTTTCTATGTTCATGTGAAGTCCTATCTTCTCTGGATGCTTCTTCTGTCAACTTGTTGATTATCATCACTTGCATATCTTCCATTTTGTGGGATATCAGACATATATATCATCGGCGAAGTCCACATTCTCCAAGTTCTTTGTGTGGGTCCATTTTATGCTTGTTTCCTCGCTTCCTGCTGTTTGTTGCATTATCCAGTCTACCGTTTTCAATCAGCAAAATCATTGGAGACAGTAGGTAGTCAGCCAGCATTGTCTTACTCCTGTCTTCACTTCGAAGGATTCCGTGAGTTTCCCGTTGTTGATTACTTGGCATGCAGCACTATCGTACAACTGTTGGATGAAATGTATAATTCTTTGCGGTACCCCGTAATAGCGAAGTAGTTTCCAAATCACCTCTCGATCGACGCTGTTCTAAACCTTTCCAAAGTCAATGAAGTTGAGTAAGATAGAGAGCTGACTGCCCCATTCCGAGCTCTGTTCAATGATAATATGTAGTGTTACGATTTGATCGATGCATAACTCATCCCTCCTGAATCCAGCCTGTTCTGGTCGAAGTTTTTCATCCGAAGCTTGTTTGGTTCTCTGTAGGATAATGCGACTTAGTATTTTGCTTGGGATAGACAGAAGCATAATTCCGCGCCACTCCTTATATTGACTTAAGACTCCTTTCTTTGTCAGTTTGATGAAATAGTCTTTCTTCCAATCTGCAGACGTACCTTACCGTCTTTCCACACCTTCTCCAGTAGTGGTGGTGTCGTCAGGTCCGCCGATGTGTCTGGGTCCATTTTCAGTTCTTCTGCTTGGATGCCGTTGTGGAGTACTTGGCATACAGCATTGTCGTATAACTGTTGAGTGAGATGTATAATTGTCGGCGGCACCCCGTAGTAGGGAATTAGTTGCCAAATCACCTCTCGATCAACGCTGTTCTAGGCCTTTTTAAAGTCAATGAAGTTGAGTTAGGTAGATAACTGACTGCCCTATTCCAGGCTTTGTTCAATGATGATCCGTAGTGTGGTGATTCGATCGATGCATGACTTATTCCTCCTGAATCCAGCTTGTTCCGGTCGAAGTTTTTCATCCAGGTTGGCGTGTTTGATTCTCTCCAGGATGATGCGACTTAGTATTTTGCTTGGGATGGACAGGAGCATGATGCCGCGCCAGTTCTTGCATTGACGTAACAATAATGTTAATGAATCTACTTTATTCCAAAAACAGTATTTATAATACATAATGGAATTCTCAGTATGTGTCACAATATTGCGTTTGATTTACTCAAAATGTAAATAAAATTAAAAATTAACCAGAGGAATTTGTCCACGCTTACGATATTCGAAGCACGAATTGAGATCATTAAATATTAATAATAATAATAACAGTGAGTTTGTTTCAAACAGTATTATCGATTCAGTTTGAAAATTTTAGCATAAGGGGAAATACGAAATTAACAGTTACCACACAGCGTAAATGATGTTCACATTTATGAAAAAAAATAAACAAAACGAAAAATTGAGAGGATTATAAATAAAAGAAGTACAATAACAATAAAGTTTGATGTTGTAAGGGTGTAGGAAATGGTCAGTTTAGTAGTGCAAAGAAGGTTAGTTAGTTAGTTAGTCCATGTGTGACATTATTTTCATCACATAAAGTACGTTCGGCTAAATATGGTTTAGTGGAATTTTTATACACAGACGTAGGTGCATAAAGTCTTCCGAAAAGACTTCTTGTTCTCCCTGAGGAAGAGACACAAGTTTGGTGCTGCGGTGGATGCTCACAGTCTGACAAAATTCCTTTAGCAAATTTGTGCCTATCAATGACAATGTTAACGATATGACCCAATGGCATAACACTCGCCCTACTGGCTGACAGTCTTCAGAGTTCTACAAAGTATGACATAGTCTTTCTTTAAAGCAATCCAGGAAAGGAAAAGTCTTGATCTACAAGACTCATGTCAAGTTAGTTGATGCTTTTAATATGGTTCATGCATTTGGCATAAAAGTTACAAAAACCATTTCTAGGAGATAAATGCAGACTTTCATCAACAGCTACCTTCGCTCTAGACTGAAGATTAAACTATCGGTTAAAAATGGCTAAGAAACACAGACTATACTAATATACCAATCAATATGGCAGCCTTAGAAGCAGTTAAACAAGAACTAACTGCAGATCCTGGACTCACTTATAGGACAAAGCTGTCCATGGAAGAGATTATTTTAAAACAAGCAATAAAGGTTAATAAAGCAGGATTTAATGAATTCATCAAATTTCGGTAGAACTCGTCAGCTGAATACTCTACATACACGGATATATATACTTTTGAAATTACATTGGGAGATATGAGACTGATAAGTAAACAAACTACATAGAATTAATCATGCAGAAAGACACGTGCGAATGTTTTCCAGGTCATGTTCAAATAGATAAGGGGAGAGAGAGTATGAGAGATCAAAATTAAGATAAATAGCATTACGCTTCAATTGCATCACTTAGATAAACAATTAGTCACTAGGGAATATAAGGAGAATTGCAAACAGACTAATATCAATAGTAATAGTTATAATAATTTTTTTTTTATTTTTATTTTTTATTATTATTATTTTTTTTATTATTGCTTTATTATTATTATTTATTATTTTTATTATTATTTTAAGAATTCAGTGTTATGCCTCACATCTACTATCTTTAAATTCCAAGGCAAAATATGTAGACAAACAGAGATGGATCACCAATATCCCCTATCGTAGTGGATATCTTCATCGACAGCTGGGAAAATATGGCTCTTAATACGTTTAATCCTACTGCAAAAATATGGTGGAGATATGTGGATGACACTTCCACAGTGTTAAAAACAGAATATATCTCTAGCTTCTTCGCACACACATATAAACTCACTAGTGAAAGGAATAAAATTCACATTTGAATCGGAAATGAATATGGAGAATTAGCTATGTTAGATTGTCATCGGTGGCACAGTGGTTAGGACTCTCGCCGACCATGCACATGGTCCGAGGTTCGATCCCCTGCCGACGCACACCTGATATCTATGGTCGGCCTGCAAAATGTGGGCTACCGATATCCATGCTGAAAATTCCATACTTGTACCAAAAATACAGTGTGGAATCAAGCTGTAAATCAAAAATAAAAAAATAAAAAAATAAAACGAATAGAAGAAGGTAAACTGCACACTAGCGTTTATAAAAAACCAACGGATTCTGCTAATAGATATTTAGACTTTAATTCGTCTCATCCGTTAAATGTTAAGGCAGGCTTAGTTAAGTGTCTGTTTAGCGAAACGAGCAGTAGCACTAAGTAGCACAAGAAAAGACCTAAGTGATGAACTAAAACAGATAGAAGAGGCCTTGGTGTTAAATAACTATCCTATAAAATTATTAGGAAGATCGGAAAGGGCCGAAAGCAAAATAAAAATAGTTGTGAAACTAGTAATGATAACATGAATAAGAGAGAATATAAGTCATCCACTGTTAAACCATACAAGGAGGGGGCATCTGAAACCCTCCCTACGTAGCATTCTTAATAACAAAGCAGGAATTAGGGTGGCGGCATTGAAACCTACAAACTCACTCAGAGACAAGCTCTCTAGGCTTAAAGACCCTGTAGGTTGGCCTAATTAGACAAAATAATATAATTTATAAAATACCTTGCAATGACTGTGAGTTAAGTAAACTACATTGGTCAAACTAGTAGGTCAGGGGTAGTCAGATTGTCAGAGCATAAGAATTTAGCTAAGTGAAGAATGGTTGACCCCATCTGAGAAGATAACTAATTTGAAAAAAAGCTTAGCGATTGCACTGCACACACAACCACAAAATACAATGGGTGGGGGAGGGTTAAGATTCTAAAGAGTAATCTATGTAGGTGGAGATAGAGAGAGATTGATTACTGAATCCTGCCTGGTTCATCGAGTCTACACCCAACACATACAACAGAAATGACCCAATGCGAATACCAGAAATACGGAAGATATTATTACCACCAGTCAGTCAAATTAGAGGAGGATAATAAATAATTTTAAAATTATATTTCAATTCACATACATTATAACATTTTAACAAGTTAGTAATCTTGACGATCAATAACACTCGTAGTATTATTTCTGAATGTACATCATCCCATATTGATTTTTATTTAAATATCTAATCATGAATTCCACACATGTATATAAATTAGGGAAAAAGTTGTCTGAGTAGTGCCTTGATATGATTATGAGTGGCAATAGTTTGTGCTCGAAACGTCATCAGTTAATATTACTGTATAACAACACTGTGTGACACTTTATCAAAATAAAATATAATCTAACGTGACAGAAATATCCTTCATCCCACATGACGACTTCGCCACTTTTTCCATTTAGTCCTATGTCTAGCAAACAGAAACCAGGTACACGGAAGCCTCTGGAATGACATTCGTAGCACATGCCCAAGCCACCGACGTTGGTGTTTCCAGATGACGACACTCATTAAATAGTGACCTTCAATGAGTAGAAACACTCATGCTCTACCGGAGCTCAGAATTACTCACACGATGATTCCACCGGAAGCCAACAACTATGGGGACAGGGATGATCAAATACGTAGAGTCCCCACACATGCTCAGCTGAGATAGGTCAGGTTTCATAGGTATCCAACAATACTTTACGCATCGACCTTTGACAACCAACCAGACGGACATTGTGACAGTGCCAGAGATTGGAAACCCTGTGTAACTACACTGTTGGTTAGGAGCATTGGTTATATTTGGTTGTTTGCCGTCTCTCTGTGCCTGAAATGTTTGTGTATAAGGCTTTCAGGATGTTGGTAAACTTCTTAGGGGGGGGCATCTCTCTCCCTAACTTACAGTTTTAGGGAACAGTTTTGTCCAAAGAATCGAAGGTAGTCTTGATATCAATAAACACAACAATTGTTTATCCGCGGTATGTGTGACAGTGTTCTGTCTACTGATGAAATATGAACAGAGATATGATCAGTGCATCCACGGGCTGAATGAAAGTTAACTTTCTCCTCGAGAATCTGTTCTTTACGTGTTTTGCGCACAGCCTGTGAAGCGCAAGACTGTTGCCAGTATGTTTTAGACACGACTTCTATCTTTTACGTGATGGCACTTTCTCGATTATACAAAGAGATCCATAGACGTTTTCTGAGTCTGTCTGTCTGTTTTCGACATAGAACTTTGCACAAATGTGCGGAAGTTCAAGTCGCCACATTCCGTGTAGCACGCGAAGCAAGAGAAGAAAGTACAAGAAAAGCATAATAGAAACAGTGAGCAGAGGTGTGAGACAAAGGAGGCGTAATAACGAAGAACAAAACAGTTTCATTGAAGATCATAAGTCACAGGGAGTGGATGCATCTGCGCCACTGAGAACGGTTCTGAGCCATGTCACCAATTGTTTCCAACCATAGATTTTTACCGTCCCGAGGACCCCAGCCTGGAAGTCTACACCTTTCTACGTGGCTTAGACCAACTGTTGTGGCCTACGTTTACCTTATTTCTCATCTGTCGATCTGTTTCCAGGATGATTATACCACATATTTGTGTATTGATTTGGTACCAGAATTAAGTTATTTTTTATGGGAAGAAGATAGGACTCCAGGTAGGCATAGTGAAGACGGAGGTGATGGACATAACTAACCAAACAGCAACAACAACGACAGTCAGCACCATCAACGGGATAGACCTGGACAGAGGTTACTTCCTTCACTTTTCCAGGAAGCTTCGTTTCCATCACAGGCAGTTGGAACGGATGAAGATGTGAAAGTTAGCCAAAATAACAAAAGGAAAGAGATACACCTCTTCATCAACCTGAAACCCACTTCAGAAATCTGCACAGTTAGCTTCAAAAAAAATATTTGGATTCTGTTCAACACAAATGTGAAGTCAGTCAGTCAGTCAATTCTATTTGAGACGAGTTTGTCATGAAAAGCATTCCCGACAGGCAGTTGCAGACTTTTATCAACAGCTAGCTGCCCCCATCGCTGGCTCCATACTGAAGATCGAATGGCCAGCTGGCCAACCAGAAAGAATTAGCAGCAAGAAACTCAGTCTGGGAACAAACCAACAGGCGAGAGCCGATCACTCAACAAGTAAGTAGAGGGAATTGGAGATGAGGAGACCGTTGAACGACATCCCACGCCAGGTCGACAATCGAATGGGAAACAACGAGTAGTGGAACGTCCGAAGGTGAAATGGGAGAGATGGGAGAGATTATGAGCAATTGTGGAGCTGGGTCAGCTGAAGAGGACGGCAGAAAAATGGAACAAAGTGGAGATGTGTCGTTGAAGCCCTATTATGTTGCACTCGGGGAACCCAAGAGAACAATAATAATTATAAGTAATAATAATATGTGAAAATTACTCATTAGAGGTGCATTCGCTAACGTTTCGAAAGACGACAGTAAGTTACATTTACTTTTCAATACTATAATCTCTCATAATTGATCTTTATCTCTTTTCATTTGTATAGATTTTACTTCCAAAAGATTCTAATGTCTATGGTCGGATTGTGTTAGTTCAAATCGTGGAATGTGATAAATTCTTTATGCGAGGTGAAATTATCGATCCTGGACCATTTGATTCTATCGTCTTTCCAAATCATCACTCTGGAGTTGTTGGCATTGATGTTGACAATAGCCGCCAGTCATTGTTAAGAGAATCCTTGAAATTGACAAATCTACCAGAGTTAATTCAAAATACATCAGGAAATATTCCAAATGGGATAGTATCGAAAGACAAAGAGCGGTTATTATCAAAATTAAACAATTATATAAGAAATGATAAGACACTGGTTAGTTAATTATTATTATTATTACTATTATCATTATTATTAATATTATTATTGTTCCCTTAGGTTCCTAGTGGAACATAGGGCTTCAACTGCACGTCTCCACTTGCTTCTGTCTTCGGCTGTACGTTTCACGTGCATCCATGTTAGTTAGTTTGTACTGTTTCAACTCCTCTTCACACGATCACCTCCATGTCCCCCTTGAAAGTTCCACTCGCCGCTTCCCATCCTGTTGGGTTCCACTCGAGCAATGGCCTGACGCGAGCGCGATGTCACCCAGCGACCTCCTCAGCGAGTGTACAATCCATTTCTATATTCATCTCCTGCATATTTGTTGGTTGGCGATTGGTTCTTGTTTTGCCTGTTCCCATAGTTTCTTGTTGGTGGTAATTCTTTCCGGCCCGGCCATCTGATCTTCAGTATAGATCCAGCGAAGACAGTTGTTGATAAAGGTAACGTCTGCAACAGGCTGTTGAAAATATTCTTTGTGACCCCCCCCCCCACCTAGTTTCTGATCGGTATAGAAGAGCTGACTGACTTGACCTTGTTTGTGTTGGAAATCCGACCGAATTTTGTTGTTGATTCTGAGTTGTGTGACGAAGATTTCCAGATTGGTTTCAGGTTGATGAATGTGTTCCTCGCTCGCCTCCCGATTCTCGCTCGATTTGACATCCTCGTCCGTTCCGACTGCGTGTAGTTGAGACAATGCTCCCTAGATAAGTGAGTGAATGAAATAGCCTCTTTCAAATTCCCCCCGTTGATGGTGATCGGGGCTGGATGTTGCTGTTGTTGTTGGTTGGTTGGTTGTTTATTTTTATAACCTCCGTCTTTTCTATGTTCACTTGGAATCCTGTCTTCGCTGACTGCTTCTTCGACCAGTTTGTCGGTCGGTTTACGCTTGTAAGTCTTCGATTTTGTGTGACATCAAAATTACTAATATTATTTTATCGAACCTACTATTGTTATGATTAGTATCATCTTCTTAGGTTCTGAGGGACAGTATAGGGCTTTAACAACATTTCATTCTGTTCTATGCACACCCCTGTTTAACTGGCTCCATGTTTGCCCATAATCTCTCATTTCCTCCCCCTCCCACACGATCTGCTCCATATCATCCTCGAAGTGACGCCCAACTTGTCGTTTCCCACTCGGTTTTCACTCGAGGGCTGGTCTGGGCTGGTGTGTGATGTCAATCAATGTGATCTCTTTAGTTTGTGTGTGTGTGTGTGTGTGTGCAGTCTATTTCTACTTTCTTTGGCATATTTTTTAGGCAGTAGGTTTTGGGTCCGTTGGTTCCTCTCCAGAGTTATTTGTTGTTTATCCTCTTTGGTCGGTTGGCTGTCTGATTTTGAGAATCGACTAAACGGGACATCTGTTGATGAGAGTCTGTAGTGAAGTGTTTGAAGTGCTTTCATTGATGATGTGCCTACCTTCTCTACAGTATATTTATTATCTTGTTGGTGGAGACGTGTACTTCAGGCATAAAGATAAAATGAAGTTCTTGGTATAACGCATATGTGTATGCCTCTTTGAAATGTTTTTTTTTATACGACTGATGTGAAGTTGGATATACAACAGTTGGAGATGAAGTCGAAGTATTCAAGTGGCGCTTGATTGCCACTTGTAGTGTGTTGTTTTAGTAGAGTTGTTTTTATTTTTACTGTTTGACGTTTCGGCCTTCGAACTTGATTTTACTTTTGCGAATAGGGGGTTGTCAGCCTCACGCCAGCGCAACGCTCTCTCTCTCTCTCTTTACCGAGTGTGTACTATCAGCTAAGCGAGATCTAAAGAAATCGACCCTGGAGACCAGGTGCGTGGTTTGCGATCATTCTACCACACTGATTCGCTCCCGCCAAAAGTAAGATGATGTTACAGGACTGCATTGGACTACACTGACTCCTAGTTTAGAAATAGGGAGTGAAGTGGTAGAGCACGTTCACCGCTTCACTTATTTGGGAAGTACCATCAGCCAGTGCCAACGGGTTGATCTCAGACGAAATCTCAGTACGGATACAGAGGGCTAGTTTCGCATATGCGAGTTTACGCCGTATCTGGCGCAGACGTGATATCCGGCTGTCTGGTTGTCGACCAAAGGGAGGATGAACTGCTCATCAGTCCGTTGCGTCCTCCTTTATGACTGCTAGTGAGACATGGCCATTCAGAGTGGAAGACATGAAAAGGCCGGCTAGTTGTCTTTGATCATAGGTGCCTGCATTCTATCTCCCGTGTGAAGTCGTATAATGGGGTGAGCAATATTGAAGTTAGGCATCGGTCGAAGGCTAGGTAGGTGTGAGGGGAAATCAATCGACGAGGTTGTGAAGTTACACCGATTGAGATAGTTAGGATATTGATAGATTACAGCTCAATAGCATCAACATAACAATAAGCTGAATGTCAGAAAAATAAGGAAAGATAATATTACAAATTCATGAATTTATAGTCTCCACAGCAGATCAGCCAGGGCAGTAGTAGTGGCTGGACTTGCTTCTTTTGAACACGATGTAATGACTTTGAGGTCAATTACATAGGTCGGTCTGGCTACTGTAACAACAGAAGACAAGGGCCGGCAACAGATCATTTTATTACGGAAATCAACACGTGTTTATATAGATTTCCTGTACATTATTATAGCTTATTCAAGTATACAAACGCAGTCTTCTGATTGGTTGTTTCGGGCAACATCGAAAAATGGAGCCACCTATCTGCGAATCATATTTGTCCACGTTAAGTCTGCTGTGATTGGTTGTTGAATCAGCCTTGTTCATATTTTCTCACGGCCAATATTAGTGACCTAGACATTGATGTAGATTAATGTCTACCAATTGCCTAGCAGCCTGCTGTCACCACACTACTACTAATACTACATTGGGACCAACTAAATTATTGAGACATAAAAATTTAGCTAGATCTAGAATAATTGACCCTGCCAAGTTAAATAACCTAGAAAATACAGAGGTCAGCCATTGCATTGCGTTCACTTGCATGTAATCACACAATAGTAGGTTGGGTGGAATAGGGTGAGAGTATTAAAAAGGTAATATAGTTAGTTAGGTGGAGAGACAAATAGGTTAATGATTGACTGAAGCTTCGTTTGCCGACTCAACACCTCACACGCGTGACAACTCGAACTGCTGCACTTCGGTACCAAGTTCTATGTTGAATCCAGACAGACCTCACACGCGCAATCGGAACGATGCAACGCCTGTCTATACCGGATATATGGAAAGTGTCAACGAACAACAAGGGGAAGTTGGAGAGACAGATTAGAGAAGAAAAATTATTTAATAATTCCCATTGTAGCATTAAGTAAGAACACAATGTATTCAGCGAAGAGACTCTTTTCAACAACGAATTTATTATCAAGCTGTACAATTGCACATATATTATGGTTTTTAAGAAATTATATCTGATGAGGGAATTAGGTCAAAGGTATGAATACATGAAATAATAATGATAGGAGTATGAAATGAAATTGAAATACTTGTGATTATAATCATAGTTTAATGTCAAGTGGCAAAAATAATTAATGTCATCTATAGAATAATACATGAGGTGTATAGATTTTGGAAAGAGGTACATAATTATAAGATTACTAGACGAATATAAAATGTTACATAACATGGTGTGAAATTTACTTAGATAGAATTTAATATTGTAAAAATAAAAAATGTGAAAGTTAATAATTTTGGGTTTAAAATGTCAAGTGGGACAAGTGGAAACAATTCAGAGTGAGAATAATAATAGTAATAAAAATAATAATAAACGTGGTAATAAGGGAAAGGTACATAGAATAACTGAATAAATAAAATAAATAAATGTATATCCCTTTACGACCAAGGAAGAAGCAGGGATTGTACATACTTCTTAATAAAAAACCATATATGTATGTACAATTGTACAGCTTGATAATAAATTCGTTGAAAAGAGTCTGTTCGCTGAATATTGCGTTCTTAAAAATATATTTAACAAATTTTGAAACCATAGGACTAAAATTGATATAATTATGAGTGGCAATTAATTTATGCTCGACACCTTGTCATCCAGTTGTTAATAATAATAATAATTGGCTTTATTCCAAAACAGTACATGTGATACAGAATGTAATTCTTAGCATTTTACTACAGTCTATTGCATCCAGTTAGTACACTATCAACTTCAGCGATTCAGGGATTGACTTGCTACCGGGGAATAATCTCGTTGACTTGGAATATGCAGACGATATAGTCCTTCTAGGCGAAGACGCTGACGAAATGCAGAGTCTTCTAAACACCTTGAGCCGCAATCTACGAATGTTTGGCATGCGATTCGCTCCCGCCAAATGCAAGATGATGTTACAGGACTGGACTACATCGACGCCTAGTTTAAAAATAGGAAGTGAAGTGGTAGAGCACGTTGACCGCTTCACTTATTTGGGAAGTACCATCAGCCAGTGCCAACGGGCTGATCTCTGACGAAATCTCAGCACGAATACAAGGGGCTCGTTTCGCATTTGTTAGTTTACGCCGACTCTGGCGTAGACGAGATGTTCGACTATCGACCAAAGGGCGGGTGTACTGCTCATCAGTCCGCTCCGTCCTCCTTTATGGCCAGCTGTGAGACCTGGCCACTGAGAGTGGAAGACATGAAAAGACTAGCTGTGTTTGATCATAGGTGCCTGCGTTCTCTTTCCCGTGTAAAGTGGCATAATAAGGTGAGCAACATGGAGGTTAGGCGTAGAGTTCTAGGTAAACAGGGGAAATCAATCGACGAAGTCGTGAAGCTACAAAGACTGAGATGGTTAGGACATGTGTTACGTATGCCAAGCCATCGCCTCCCTCGACGAGCTATGTTAGCGGATATAGGGTCAGGCTGGAAAAAAGCTAGCCTGTGGCGGTCAAACAAAAACTTGGCCTCACCAGTCAATGAAATCCACAACAGTTGGTCTAAGCCACGTAGGAAGGTGTAGACTTCCAGGCTGGGGTCCTCGGGACGGTAAAAATCTATGGTTGGAAACAATTGGTGACATGGCTCAAAATCGTTCTCAGTGGCCGGCGCAGATGCATCCACTCCCTGTGACTTATGATCTTCAATGAAACTGTTTTGTATTTCTTTATTACTCCTTTGTCTCACACCTCTGTTTACTGTTTCTATTATGCTTTTCTTGTACTTTCTTCTCTTGCTTCGCGTGCTACACGGAATGTGGCGACTTGAACTTCCGCACATTTGTGCAAAGTTCTGTGTCGAAAACAGACAGACAGACACTATCAATAAATAAAATTCTACATAGATTAAGGGTAATCTCAGTTAGTTTTGACAACAACATATTAACTTGTCGGTAGCAAAGCCAAAAGTGAACAGAGTGTTTGAATGTGTTAGAAAAGTAGATGCTAGCATATTTACTGGCGTAAGCAGAAGAAAGAAACAAAGGAGCACATAACAGAAAAAAGAGAGAGAAAAAAGGAAAAGAAAGAAAGAAAACGTTGTACCTATAAATGATATGAGTTGGAAAGACGAGATCGAGTTGTTCTACTGACTATTTAATAGGTTATAGGTATCACGCCTAATGCTTTCGTTATCGCACAGAACACGAGCTAGCGAAGTAGGGTATGGTTGAGGTTTTGTACTTGGTAGTGCGAGCATATAGTTTTCTATATAGGCTTCTGGTTTTGCCTGATGAGATACAAGGGGAGAGTTGGGAATGAAGAGGGCGGTGGTGTGAGTTAGATAGGTAGAATGGATTTAGCCCATTTTTCACACGAGTCCATGTGCCTGTCAACCAGAATATTAACAAGCTGGTTAAGTGGCACCCTATGGCTTACCCTGCTGACAACCTTTAACATCCTGCGTAATAAGGTATAGTCTTTCTTCAGTAGCCCAAGAAAAACTAAGGGGGGAACAATGGAGAATACTAGGCAGAACACGGGAGTTAACGAATCGTAAGAGTAAGGGTTGGGTTATCATCATCACTTTGTGTGATGATATTTAAATTAAACTTACCTAATGTATGGAATTACATTCTGCCTATCACAGTGCCCAAATTCTACACTTACAAACTTTGAAATATCTTCAACTTGTTGGCATTACGGCGTGTTTTGTTTTAGCTCTGGTCACTAATATATCCTGTGAATAGTATATGTGTGGTGAGAACTGTCTGGTAGCCGAAGTCGGTAGACATTAATTTACGTCAATGTCTACGTCCCATATCTCGGTCGTGAGAAAAAAACAAGAACAAAGACTAACTCAACAACCAATCACATCAGACTTACCGTGGGTGGATACGATTGGCAGAAATATGGTCTGACCTTCAAAGAAATGACAGAATGACCTTCAGCAGGAAAACAACCAATTGGAAGACGTTACCTCTCTGCTAACAATAACGCTTATAATTATAATGTACATGAAAATCTATAAATCTTAGTTGATTTCGTCAATAAGCGATCTGCTGCCTGGTCATTGTCTGCTGTCGTTACGTATGTATTTAAAAATGTTCAAATAGTATGTCATTTGTTTTTGTGTTTTCGTATCCCTTGGATCTCAATATCCTTATTGTTTTGTGTTTTTCTCCCTCCTTTCTCATTTATTTCACTTTTGTTTTGTTTTACTCACACAGGTATCTCTGACAGGTTATGCTGCATTCGCTGTACTTGGCTTCTGTCTATTCTTGACAGTTTCAAACACCAGAAGAAATCAATTATTTGCCTTATTCAGATAAATTATTTGAATAAAAAAATCTTGTGTTTTTCTTGGGAAAATGTTTTGTATATTTATTAATTCAATCAATAAACTTTTTGTTCTCAAAGCTGATTTATTCCTCACATAAAAATTACCCTGGAAATAAAAAGAAAAAAAATGAGATGGTGGTTTCAATTGAATTCGAGTGTTCGGCGGTTTTACACAGTTCGACCATATTTTCATTTGGTGAACGTATATATTGTAATGTCTCTGATCGCAGTACTCACTAATTAACGAGTGTTCAAATCTCATAAGCGATATGAGTTCCTTCAAGATTGCAGATACGCCTTGCTAGACTGACTGTTGAGTACCAACTAGCACCAAACCTTGTTGGGTGTCCAAGCCTTCCTGTCGATCGCCTCCAACCATCTAACATCAACAATTCATAGTGGACCATGATGGTGAGCCACCTAGTGTGGCATGGTGGCCACATTGCAAACCTGACTGAGAGAGTTCAGTTTGCACCAAAGTAAGGACTAGACATATTACACTATTATTCACTGACGTCTAGTGTCTAACGAAAATTAATTGTATGCTGTAATTTACAAAAATTATACAAGTATTACTTGTATTTCATGTATTTATTCCCCTTGATGAATTTGAATAAAGCAAGAACAACAGTGGAGGTTTGTGCAGAATAAGAAGATGTTACCATCATTGTTTATTTCGTTGGCTTCTCATCAGCTGTTTACAACCTAAATAAATTATGAAGTTTATGTACAGAAAAGTTTTAACATACTTGCAAATTTTACATGTTGTCAGTTGACAGAAAGTTCCAAAATTAGTGAACAGTGCTCAGAAGATTGCGCTTATATAGTTTTTGCACAGCCAGTTCAAGTTAAAACAAAATAAATGTATGCATACAGCTGCAAAGGAGTTACGTAATAAAGACGGAATATGCGTTAGATACAGAGTGACTAATTAATTAGGTAACAATATACTGGGTTCAACTCAAATCATAGAAACAAGAGACAAGCAAAATTACAGATTATAAAAGGAGGGTAGGTGAGTTTAAAGACAAAGATTACGTAATCAGATAAGAGAATAAAGACATCTAGTTACCAGGCTGGGGCAAGGGAAGACTTATAACTGCTTCTTTCTGAACACATAAATCTGGTTTCAAGCGTTTGATGGAAATTGCTTCAGCAAACTTGAGGAGAATGGAGCTCCTTTGTCTATTGATAATTTTAAAGGATTTCTACCTCATGACCTGTGTCGAGGAGATGTCTAGTAATAGTGCTACTATAAGATTTTGTTCCGTTGAGATGTAGGCTTTTTGGTACATGTTCAAAAAATCGGAGGTGTGCCCTTCTTTCTGTTCTCCCAATGTAACTGCTCCCGCAGATACATGTAAATTTGTATTGCACCTTCGAATACACCCAAAAATACATGACAGTTTAAAGAGGTACGCATTTGTCGGGCATAGAGGCTATTTTGCGCTACACTTTGTGCTGGTAACACACACACAAGCAAATATCCTCAGACTCTGTAATTGAACCACATTTCAGTCAAATTTGTAAAATCTTTCGCGGGAATAATCCCAGTATTTCATTCTACTTAAATTTATCGCTCTTCAGGGCAAATTTTCAAGCGAATAAGTCATTTTGATTCGTGGTTGAAGTCAAACTAATAACAGCCATCCCGGTGCATAATCATCAACAACTAATTAGACGTAAATGTGCTTCAATGACAACATTAAATTGTGTCTTTTGTTCTGGATGTGCTTCTTGAGTCCCAAGAAGACCTAATGTTTGATTAGTATGCGAAATTACTAAAACATGTGTATCCAGGGGAAGCCTGACAGGAAAACTGGACTTTTTTCTACTAGGACTTGGATTTTTGGGTAGAAAAAGGGAGAGAATTAGGGAAAAAAATGGACGGATTTCAGGAACTCGTCACTTATAATTACCTTTTTAATAGCGTTGATGCTTTAATTCCTCCGTAATTTTCATTAGCTGCTTAAAGACATTGGTGAGGTTGATTGGGGATGGCTGTTATAGTTTAACATTGTTGATTCGTGTTTTGTAAGACTGGTGTGGTGTGAGACTTAAACAAACCCGACAATACCTTAAAAGTCGACCTAATAATCATGGCTTAGTTGTATTTAAATGATTGCTTAAATGGGAGTATTTATGAATCTGATTTTGATTTTCATGCCTAATTATCATAGAATACATGTTCCCCTGGATTTTGATTCCTTTAAAAGTGAGTTTTCCGAGACCTTGTTCATAAATCATGGCTGGTAGTTCCCGTTGAGTTGGTTGTAAGAACAGTGATCAGATTTGACTGGACTTATTTGCCCCTAAGTATTATTGACCATCGCCTTCCTCGACGAGCAGTGTTAGCGGATATAGGGTCAGGCTGGAAAAAAGCTAGCGGTGGTCAAACAAAAACTTGGCTTCACCAGTCAATCAAATCCACAACAGTTGGTCTAAGCCACGTAGGAAGGTGTAGACTTCCAGGCTGGGGTCCTCGGGACGGTAAAAATCTATGGTTGGAAACAATTGGTGATATGGCACAAAGTCCTTCTCAATGGCTGGCGCAGATGCATCCACTCCTTGTGACTTATGATCTCCAATGAAATTGTTTTGTTTTTCTTTATTACTCCTTTGTCTCACCCCTCTGCTCACTGTTTCTATTATGCTTTTCTTGTACTTTCTTCTCTTGCTTCGCGTGCTACACGGAGTGTGGCGACTTGAACTGGCGCACATTTGTGCAAGGTTCTATGCCGAAAACAGACAGACAGAAGTATTACTGATATTGTTTCAAATCCCCGCTTTTGCTGTAAGTTTTCATCGTTTGAATATTGAAAGCCTACTTGGAAAGGAGAAAACTTACATTTTAATAGCTTTTCCCCAAATAGCTTTAAATGCGGACTAGTCAAGACTGTGTACTAAAGAGCGAGGAGAATATGCTCTATAGAGAAATTAGAGGAAGAATTTGAGTTTCTTGAAAAGATGTTGAAGACCAATGGGTACCCTCAAATGTTCATCAACAAGTATGGAAGATCTGAAGTCGAAAATGTAAAATAAATCACAGTGGGTAGGAAGCCAATCTGCATTCATCTTGATTATAAAGGTGAAAACATTGCAAAAGGGATCAACAGAAGGCTTAGTACATCACTAGCCAGAGCCTATCCTGCAGCTAGCTAAGTTCGTCTATCGAACAACTTGCTCTTCTTTGGTGCAATCAAAAATCGATTGATATCCTTCTCATGTTAACTCCAACTGTATATACAAATTTACATGTATCTGCGGGAACAGTTACATTGGAAGAACAGAAAGAAGGACATATCTACGATTTTCTGAACATGTGCCAAAAAGCTTATGTCTAAAGGGAACAAATGCTTTAAGCAGTGCCATCGCCAGAAATCTCCTTGACGCAGGTCATTAGGTGGATGTCGAAAAGTCGTTCAAAATTATCAATAGGCAAAAGAGCTCAATTTTGCTGAAGCCATTTCCATCAAACGCCTGAAACCTGATTTATGCGCCCAGAAAGAGGCGGTTATTAGTCTTTCTTTGCATTGCCTGGTAACTGGATATTTTTATCTCTCTCTTGCATCTGAATGAGTAATGCTGAAAAGTTTCCATTGTGTATGATTATTGTTCGGAATAGTGGTTAATATTGCATATTTATATATGTATATATTTTTAGTGTATGAGTATATTGATCGATTGATTTTTGTTTAAACTTAACTCTGTGCAAGTATGTTAAAATTGCTTTTGTAGACACATTTAATAATGTCTTTACCCTGTAAGCAGCTGGTGGGAGGGCAATGAGATAAAAGATGGTACCATTTTATTCTGCTAAAACTATAGTTCTCGCTTTGTTCAAATTCACTAAGGGGAATAAATGTATGAAATATTACAGTAAGGTTGAACATAATCACGTTTAGTTTAGTAAGGAGTTGGTTGTTTCATTTTAAACTATAGTATGCGGAAATGCAATCTAGTTGGTGTTCCTTCTTAATATATTTTAGTAAACCAGCCTCAAATTTTCTAGACAGTTTCGGTAGATGTTCTTGAACAACAATAATGTCTACCACAGTTATTTATTTCGTTTAGTTCTGTGGGGGAAAATTCGTTCAGTTAACTTTCATTTAATCAAATGAAAAGTCGATTGATTTGATAGTGGGATGTGTGTATCACATGTGCTCGAGTAGGAATGGGAATTCGTTACTGTTCCCTTATGTTCGAAGAGGAATATAGTAAGTACGTCAACAAAAAAACATCTCCATCTCACTGTGTTCTTCTCTGGAGGAGTGCTATTTGCTGGCACAATGATTACCCATAAACTCCTCCGACACTATGCATGAGCCTTCTTCTCCTCCTCACACGATATCCATGTCTTCCTCGAAGTGACGTCCTACTCGACGGCCTGGTTGGGGACTTATCATTTGATGGTCTCTACAATGTGCGTCGAACCCATCTCTATTTCTTCCCGAATGTTTTATACGCCATAGATCCCTGATTTTGCCGTTGCTTGTGTTTGATCCCTTCTCCAGTAGCCTATGGAAAAGGCTTTCGATGACTGACAACATACAAAGTTTCTGAACCATATATACAATCGTTGACTGACTTGATATATGAATGTGCGTCGGTGGCACAGTGGTTAGAACTCTCGCCGACCATGCACATGGTCCGAAGTTCGATCCCCTGCCGACGCACACCTGATATCTATGGTCGACCTGCAAAATTTGGGCTACCGATATCCATGCTGAAAATTCAATACTAGTACCAAAAAGAATACAGTGTGGAATCAAGCTGTAATCAAAAATAAAATGCTGAAAATCCAAATCTTGTTTGCCAACCTTGAATGTGGTAGATTTACACACTGACTTTAGAGTGATGGATGTCTGTCTTGCTGTTTCGATTCTTGTTGACTTGGACATCTTCATGTGTGCCACTTCGAGTGAAAAAAATACTGCCAAGAAAAGTGAAAGAGATGGATTAACAGTGGAAAAAGAAAGATTGAGCAGCGAAGAAATATTTACTTTTCAATTAGATCCTCATCTCTCTCTCTCTGGCTCTACTCTAATATATTGTGTATAACGTTTTTATTACAATATACGACAGTTTACCAATCAGGTAGTGGCACTCATATGTTTTTTAACAATAATTAGTCAATGTCAGCATGTCAATGCGACGGGTGATAATTAACGAAGGGAATCAATACACATTGCCCCACAAATATGCAGGAGAAAGTGGAGATAGATCGGACACTCGCTGAGGGGACCGCTGGGTGACATCGCGCGTCAAGCCCTCGGGTGGGACCTGAAAGGGAAGCAGCGTGTGGGATGTCCAAGGGTGACATGGAGGAGATCGTGTGAAGAGGAATTGAAACAGTATGGACTAACATGGATGCAGGTGAAAAATATAGCAGAAGACAGAAGCAAATGGAGACGTGTAGTTGAAACCCTATGTTCAACTAGGAACCCAAGGGAGCAATAGCAGTATAATATAATAATTGTTCCCTTGGGTTTCTAGTAGAACATATGGCTTCAACTGCACATCTCCACTCGCTTCTGTCTTCTTCTGTACTTTTCACAGGCATCCATGTTAGTCCCTACTGTTTCAACTCCTCTTCACACGATCTCCTCCATGTCACCCTTGCACTGATGTTCCACTCGCCGTTTCCCATTCTGTTGGGTTCCACTCGAGGGCCTGACTCGCAGTCAACACTGTCGAAGTCCTTCTCAAAGTCTATAAAGTTGAGGTAGAGGTTTGATTGCCACTCCATGCTTTGTTCAATGATGATGCGTAAATTTGCAGTTTGGTCAGAACATGATTTGCCTCTCCTGAATCCAGCTTGTTTTTGTCGGAGTTCTGTATCCAGTGTGTCCTTTATTCTCTCCAGGATGTTGCGACTCAGGATTTTACTTGGCGTCGACAGGAGCATGATTCCTCGCCAGTTCTTGCAGAGTCCTAAGTCGCCCTTCTTTGGTAGTTTCACGAGGTAACCTTTCATCCAGTCAGTAGGAACCTTTCCTTCCTTCCAGATCTTTTGGAATAATGGAGTCAGCATGTCTCCTGTCGTATCTGGGTCCACTTTCAGTGCTTCAGGGGGTATTCCATCTGGTCCAGCTGCTTTTCCAGCTTTCGGAAGCTTGATTGTATTCAAGACTTCAGCTCTCGTTGGAGGACTGGTGTCAGCTTGCAGTTGTGTACGCGCTGTTGTTGGTATTTCTGGACGGGTTGCAAGTGGTGGTCGGTTCAAAATACACACTTAAAAGGTTAGAATAAATTAATTTTACAAGGATGACACGTGATTAAAGATGAAGTAGTCAGAAAAAATAAAATAATTTAGACAATTATAATTTTTAAAGGTTTGGGGTGAGGGGGGGCAAATTAGTCCAGTTTATACATTCATGTAACGATGGCGAAGGTAAGGAAAGTGGCTGTACAAATTTCTTCTGAACACACAGGTTTGGCTTCTTCAGGTGGATTCCTATTGCTTCAACTGTAGGTATATAGAAGACGAACTCGTTGAGCAAAATTAAGATTAGTAGGAATTCGATAAATAATTTTAAATACAGTATTGACATCAACCTTATGCTCACTGTCTACAAGGTGTGCTAAAATAGAGCTACAGATAGATCTTGTTTGTCCCTTGCTTAACCATTGTGGATGGTGTTCGGAAATACGATGATGAACCTGCCTAACTGTACGTCCAGTGTAGCTGGCTCCACAGCTGCAGTCAAACTGGTAGATACACATAGAAGAGGCAAATTTAGGTAGTTTATCCTTATTTCTCGAACGTAGAATAGGGGTGGTTGTGAAGAGACAACGCACCTCTCCTGCATAATAAGCTCTTTTAACTACATTCTTCAAGCGCTGTGTTATTATTTCGTTGATATTATCACCGAGAAACTGCAGTTTTTTTATGAACATTAGTTTTCTCGGAACTGTTATCATACTGACTCTCTTTGGTGCTGAATTCATATTTTTCTCAATGAATTTATCTGGATAACTATTTTTTCTAAGCAATTCTCTAATAATCTGAAGCTCTTCATTGAGTCAGCCGTCTGAACAGATTAACCTACCTCTAAGAACCAGACACCTTACCAGGTTACGCGTTTATATATAAAAGGTACAAAACTCAGAAAATGAGTTTACTGACCTGTTGTTCCAGGTTTCCTATACACACTCCTACTTAGTGTGCCATCTTCTTTCCTTGCCATGAAGACGTCTAGGAATGAGATACTGTCATTACTTTCTTTCTCTACGGTAAAGTTTATTGCTGAGTGTGCAACATTAAACTTGTCAAGGATGATCATTGCATCATTCTCATCTTTCATAACCAGAAATGCATCATCTATATATCGACAGTAGAAATCCAAGTAAAACACTCTCCTTGAAGTTGTATACATGAGATAATGGCTACAGCAAAGGAAACTAATGGAGATTGAAAGACAGCTCCAATTTAAACTTTTCCTAACTCGGTTCTACTCCTCACCACCACCGAAGAGAAAATCTTCGTTATTCTATAGAAGTTTATAAGATTCTCGTTATTCTCGTATTCATGTTTGTATATCATTCAGTCATAAAAGCTGTTTAGGAAAAAAATATGAGAATCAGTTGTTGTATATTGGAACGGTCTTTTACTTGGAAGAGTGTAGCAAAATCTGTCGCCTAACTATTTGTTCAATGGCGTTTGATTATGAGTGAATTTTCTCGGCTACCACTTCTGCCACTGTCTTACATAAATAATATTTTGGTAGGACTAAAATTTAAAGCGGAATAGACATATGTGCAAAACGCAGGTACAGTCATATAACTTATCAGATTGTTTTCAGTTAACTACTCTAATCATACCTGAGCATTCAGCGAAGATAATGGAGATTTTACATCAGGAGGTAATCGAGGTCTTTATAAAAAAGCCATACTCGTGTTCAAGCTATTTTGGAAAACACAAATATATCAAGGGAACTTTATGAATCTCTTTGTTTTAGTACTGGTCGAATGATGGGCAGTTTTCGGTCTTTGTTAAAATATCTTCAATTCACATGTCTCCCTAGCCTTTGCCATCCGCCTTGTTCACTTAAGTTTTCGTAGTAGTCTTATTTACTATCACACCTCTCGTAACAATCAATGTTAGCTGATCAGATCGACCAATCACATCATGTGTAATTCTTTGACAAGTTTGTAGCCGTCACGTTATCTATTCTGTGTAAAACTTACATGTTTGCTGATTGGTAGATCTTAATTTACTAACATCAAGCCAAGTCACGTAATTGTTTTGTTCTGTCCACTGGCCTTAGAGTGTGAGTCTTCAGTACTCACTGCACTGGTTAAGCGTGCAGTGCTTTTTCCAGGAATAAAGGCATTATTTAAGCTACAAATCCTATTTTTAAGATTTTGACGCATCATTTAAGGACTCAGAGCTGTTTCAAAGAACAATCAGGCTTACTTCAGTACACGGTAAGTTCATTTTAGTTAGATAAACTATTCATTCATCATAAAAAGGCTAAGGTTAGAATTGGCTTAGAATTGTAGTAAGATCGAAGAAGACATCATATGGAACACAGTAGTGTATATTTGAACTTTCAAAATTTATAATTCATTTCAATTGTAATTTTCTTTTCCAGTCAACATGCTATTTAGCTTGGAAACAGTACTTTTGCATGTACTGATTTCAGTTAAGAGTGTATCGATATTTTCAAGAGTTTCCACGAGACTTGCTATCTTCTTTTTAACAAGTTCATCAACTTCATTTTCAAGTTGAAGAAATGTCGCTTCGAGCCCCTCGAAGAAAAATGCTACCTAGGAAGAGATATGATTAATATGTATTTTGTAGTACTTGTTCTTCTATGTAATGTTTACACTCAATTAACTGCCTTCTATACGAATCCCGACATCTCAGCATTCTCTCAATAGTCTCATTAGCCTCATCTTCTATAAATTTCCTGGTATTCTTAGCATGCACGTCAAAACCGTCTGCCATCCTACTGCAGAAACCAATAAGCTGTTTGAAAAGCCGCTTCTTATCCTATACTCAATATCCAATGTCATTTTTATGAACTAGTGTGAACAGGTTTGATTTATTTGTACTTTCTTCTTGGGTGTCAGGTAAGGGTTCCTGGTCTTCGGTTAATTTCTGCGCAGTTTGTGCTACCACTTAACTGATGTAGTAGGGGAGGAGAGGTATTCCAATATCCAATATCCAATATCGTTTTTACGAGCTAGTATAAACCAATTTGATTTCTTTGTGCTCGCTTCTTGATTGTGAGGTATAGGTTCTTGATCTTCGGTAAACTTCTGCGTAGCTTGTCCCGCCACTCGACTGTCGTAGCTTTGGTTGACTCCAAAGGGAGTAGTGCTGGGATTAATTATATGTGGTTTGTAGTATGAGGTATGTTAAGACTGTTACTACTGTGATTGGAGTTGATCCTTTCGCCAGTTAGTCCTTCGGTATTGTCGACAAGAGAAAAGAGATAGTAATAATAATAATAATAGTAATAATAATAATAATAGTAATAATAATAATAATAGTAATAATAATAATAATAGATATAATTAGTGAAGCTATTCAGACTAAGAGACAGAAACGAAAATAGGAAACGTAACAACAGTCAGCTCATGAAGTTTGAAGAATAATATATATATCGGTAATAGTAATAATAATAATAATAATAGTAATTATAATATTAATAAGTTGTCAGGAGAGTAAGACGGGAGAGAATGTAAAGAAGTAAAATGACGAGTTTAATTATCTACCCTGATTGGTAAATGCGATTTTAAGGAGATAGGCCATTTGGATGCAGTCCTTGTATCGCTGCATGGTTGTCCAGCCTTCGCTTAAAGGCGTCCAAAGACGGTGCCATAGCTACATCTGCCGGTAAGGAATTCCAGGGACGACAAACCCGCAGTGAAAAGAAGTGGGAGCGCACCCGGGTCCTTGCCCTCTGGTGAGCTATCCTTCTGGGATTTCCACGTGGAAGCCTATACCTACTCAATGGCAGAACACCTTTGTTTGGGTGATTCTGGTCATTTGTTATTTTGTAGGCAGTAATCAAATCCCCCCTAAGCCGACGGTAACTAAGTGTGAACAGGCCTAATTTCTTCAGCCTTTCATCATATGGTTTGTTTCGGAGACCAACCACTCCTTTTGTTGCCCGTCGTTGGACTCTTTCCAAGAGGTTGGCATCTCTTCTCAGCATTGGGGGTGCAATAATATTATGCACCTCAAGGTGTGGCCTGACGTATGTTTTGTACAACATTAGAAAGAGCTCAGGAGTGAGTGCACCTAACTGTCTATGCGTAAAGTGTATGACCGCATATGCCCTCGCTACATCCCCTGTGTAATTTACGCTTGTGTCCATTTTTTCCGTTAGAACTAGACCTAAGTCGCGTTCCGACGTTGTGCAGGACAAGCTTTCATTGCACAGGGTGTAACTTGCATTCTGCAGTCTACAGGTGCGCAACTTCACTACTTTGCACTTTTTCAAGTTGAAAGTCATGCCACTGGCCACCGCCCAGTCTTCCAGAAGGTTTAGGTCTTCCTGTAGCCTATCTGAGTCCTCCGGACACTTTATCGCCCTCCATATTTTTACGTCGTCAGCGTACAGGAGAGTCGGGCAGCTCAGACGGCGTGGTAGATCATTGATGAAAATCAAAAACATCAGTGGTCCTAGGATAGAACCCTGCGACACTCCTGATGACGATCTGTGCCAAGATGATCGGACTCGGTTAACCTTAGTGCAAAATTGCCTGTCGGCTAGGTAGTCCTTCAACCATGACAGAAGTGGCTCACCTATGCCTGCCTGGCTTATTTTATGTAGGAGAAGGTCATGGTGAACAGTGTCAAATGCCTTCTCAAAGTCTAGGAAGACCACATGGACTGGTACGTTCAAGTCCCAGCATGATGTCCAGTCGTCCCAAGCTGACAGTAGGTTAGTGACGCAGGATCTGCCTTTTCTGAAACCATGTTGGGCTTCATGCAGTATATTAGTCCTATCGAAATATTCCCTGATGTGGTCGTCAATAATACTTTCCAGTACTTTTGATACCACTGGGAGTAGAGCTACTGGTCTATAGCTAGCAGCGTTTTGCCTGTCCCCACCCTTGAAGATTGGAGAAAGGATGGCTCTTTTCCACTCCCTTGGCAGGGTCCCCGAATCCATTGAGTGTTGGAACAAGTCGCACAGGGGTCTACAGAGAGCCTCGGCGCACTGTTTCAGAACAGATGGCCTGATGTCATCACAACCTGGGGACTTCCCAGGTATGAGTCGCTGTAGCTTCCTTAGTACTATTGCGGGGTTTATTTGGGGAGTAGTCGCTAGGTCTTCCTCCTCTGAAATAGTGGTGCCACCATTTTGGTCCGTAACTGTAATATCCACATTGCTGTTTAGCTGTTTAGCGAAGGCTGAACTGAATGTTTCAGCCATCTCCAGACTAGTGAGATATTGACCGTTTGGGCCTACTAAGGCGCATGCCCCTTGGTTTGTCGGTTTTCTTTCCGACATGAATCGGTACAAGTTTTTAGGGTTTGATAGGAGTTTTTTAGCAAGGTTAGCCTGGAATGACCTTCTGTCCCTCCTAACTCTTGCATTACACCGGTTCCTGAGTTCGAGGTATGCATCATGGTCGGTCTGACTCTTAGATACACGCCACGTAAACCAAGCCTCCGCTTTGCTTGCAGAATACGTTGCGTGCCTCTCTTCAACCATGATATCTTTCTCCGAAGCTGATGAACAGATAGATACTTGGAAGCAGCGATTTAAAGTAAATGAATAAATAGGGACGATAAACAGAATAGTTAGGCAAAGAGGGCCACAAGGCGTCAATGACTACTTTGGCAGATGTCCACATTTAAAGTGCATCACGTCAAGACCTAGCAAACAGTTCATTTGTGTGCCAGTAGGGAGCCAATGAGCTAGGCCTCTTGAACGAATTCAAGCTCCCTTCCGGCTGGTTTCTGCTAGAAATGACGCTCACAATTTCCACGTGGCCATCGAACCTGCAAGACCTGCACTTCAACCTCACCGCCTTCTAACTCTAATCTGGCCCAACGAACCTGGCGGCCGGACTATTCCTAACACTGCTACAACAGGCGAGTGGAGAAGCCAAAACTTATGTCTGCCTAAAGGTATGTTGGTTGATCATGATTTGAAAGATTGTATAGAAATATAATCACACCACGAAAAGGCTGCCGAGCCCCTGTCTCCTCAAAGTCCATTGTCCCACCTTGTGTTTCAATCTGCACGGATAGGTTGGAGGTTCAGTTGATTTGACACACCTCTTTCATCCCTCATGGACCCACCAACACCAAGTTTTAGTGCTTTCCCCAGAAGAATCACGTAACTGGTATGGAATCTGCCCCTTGTGATCTGGCCGTTTTGGCTTGTACTTGTAGCAGTATTGCTGATATTGCTGGTCGGCTGGTAAACGGAGTGCTTCAGCCATCTCAATACTTATAAGTCCCGCCAAGTTAGTTACTGTCGTCGGATGGAATCGGTCAGTCACCGTTCCTTCCTTTGTTTCTCTTGAGACACTTCGAACACCCTAGTAGACTGGAATTATCCCGCATGCTCAGCGTCACTGTAAGAGTTAGACACGCGAACGTCACTTTCGTCCCTGTTAGTCGCCCATGTTGGATTGCGTCACTTAACCGTCCGTCTACACGCTGGCTTCCACGTTTGTCCTGCAGGTATTCACCACTTATCTTGATACACACTGTTCACAAATGTCGCGTCTTACCATATTTTTGTTTCCATCGCCGTTAAAATTAGTTATTTCGTTTGTTTCTAAATCTTTTATTACCATATCAGCCCATTTATTTCATCGCAATTGTTTCATATGTTGCATTCATACGTGGTTGCAGAGTTTTAGCTGTTTTTCAGCTGTTTATGTAATAGCACTTTGTAGAGGTTTCCGAATTTATGCACACGAACATGCTTGGGTGACAGAAGCTGTTGTTTCCAGGTTATTCATTGGTTGCCGTTACTTTTTATGGCTCAGTTGTTTACTCAATATGTACAAGTCTGAAAAAACCATGTCGTTCACCTTTACGTTTACAGCATGCAACAATCTACAAGTGAATCTGGCGAAGACAGCACGATCAGAGTTGATATTAGCAAGGTTTTCGAAGAACATGTTAAACCTGGAGAATTTAGAAACTGGTTTGAAGTTGAAGAAGCTTTGAAGCTTCTTGGGGTGCGTATACAATCAGTGTGTCTATTGTCAGTTAAGAAACACCCCATATATTGTGAGAGAATCTAAACTAAACGAGAATGAACCACATGTGAAGCATGAATGTGCGGTGTTTGCATGTAATTTTGGAGACAAAAAGAAAACAGAGTGCAGTCACAAACCTCTAAAGTGTAAGTGTTACGTATTGTTGTTAATACCTAATTTACTAGATCCAAATACATAAACTAGGACTATCTGTAGTAGAGCGACCATTGCTAGCTATTAAATATGTTGCAAACGGGTTTAAAAAGGGTGTAACATACGATGATCTGGTGAGTGTGTGAGTTATCTCAATCAAACGTAAGACTCCAGTTAACAAGAATAAAGTTTCAGGTTGTGCCCTAGAATCGGTTCATTTGAATTTTTGCAATCGAATAAAATCAACAAAGAAACAATGTAAATGGCGCAATCATTGCGTTTTTACTCTCCGTTGTCTGCAAAAAAACAAATACCATAAGTCCGTAGCTGTCGAATCACCTGACAACCCAAGTAGGTCGAATAAAGCAGCTCAATATTCGGAAAGAAGAGAAAGCAATAAGTTCTACAGGGTGCTCATAATAAACTCTAATCCGAAACAGGATAATTTTGAGAATAGGTCTAATCATAAAATTCTAGACACTAGCGATTTGAACAGACATGAAGGTGCGATGTTAGATGATGCATAGGAAATTCAGATTAATAAATAATTATGGATATGTTTCTGTTAGCCAACTCTCAGAAACTGTCAATGTCCAGCTATTACTACGTTGGACCTCACGCTGTCCCTGGAAGACTTTCAGAAACAACTGGTAATGACCAACGCAAAAAAGCAGAACACAGATTGGCGACTTGAGAATCCTTCATTCTTACGCCAATATGTAACCGACAATAGGGTTATTGCGCAAAAGATCTAAGAATAAATGTTATAACAATAAATCCCGATAATACTTCTGATAGTTTTCTCTCTACCAAATAACAGAGAACGATAGGACGACGACTGATGGATTAATGACTCCGCGAAAAATATCGGGAAGTTGGGTTTGAGCAAACAACCATGAATTGATCGTTCAATCGTCAACTACATCGACACTCTCCACCAAAAAAGGGATCTATCCCTTTTTCCCATCACGACCAATACACGTCGACTTGGATGCCAGTGCGAGAACCTGGGTCACACGGACAGAGCTGAAATGGAAACAAACAGAAAAGCCAACACCACAAGCATACACACGGCACAATCTCACATATCAATGACGACCTGCGCCTTCCAGATAAAGGTGTCCTCTTGACA